TTTGGTCAAGACATAAATGGTTATTTAATGAATTCGCTGGAAATTAAAAAAAAATTGTAGCAAACAAGATGAAATCCAAAATAACATTTAAATTACCTGTTGGAGTGGTTATAGCAATATCCAAAGATCCTGGAAATAAGAAACGATAATTGGTTAAAATCTACCAAAGGGTAAGCAAATACTGCTTTATAGTTAACTTGTTTTCTTCTCTTTGTCCCTGGAGCACAGAAACCTGATATTATGGTTTGGATGCAAGGTGTCCCCCAAAAGCTAACATGTGAGACAATGCAAGAAGGTTCAGAGGAGAATTGATTGGGTTGTGAGAGTCTTAACCCAATCAGTGAATTAATCCCTGGTGGGATTAACTGAGAGGTAACTGAAGTGTGGGGTGTGGCTGGAGGTGGGAATTGGGGCGTGGCTTTGGAGTATATATATTTTGTATCTGTAGAGTCGAGTCTCTCTCTGCTTTCTGATCACCGTGATGTGAGCTGCTTCCCTCTGCCGCCCTCTCCCTCATGATGTTCAGCATCACCTCGAGGCCCAAGGAATGGAGCTGGCCTTCTATGGACTCTGAGCCCTCAAATAAACATTTCCTCCTCTATGATTGTGCTGGTCAGATCCTTTAGTCACAGCAGCGAAAAAGCTGACTAAAACACCTAACTTTCATTTAATTGATTCACACATCTTGATTGCCCATTCCCCCGTGTCAGGCACTGGGCTGGTTCTGGAGCAAAAGAGTCAATAAAACTACATATAGTTGCTGCCCTCAAAAAGAGGACCAACTCATGGATAGACAGAGAAGATGAAAAGACACACAAGCAAATGGATGACTTTTGCCATGAAATGAGAAACACAGATGGCCCAAGAACCTCTAACAGGTTCTAACAGGTGAGCTGACCTGGCCAGGGAGCTCCCCTCCCATGCCCTTCTGCCTGGCACAGGTCCGTCCTGGATGAGGTGCTCTGCTCAAAGACAGTGACAACCTGACACTAGCCCACTCCCAGGCCTGGAGTGGCAGACCCTCGTGCTGCCAACATGTGCAGTGTAGGGGCAGAGGCATTACCAGGCGAAGGAGTCTCTTCCTCTGGAGTGAGAGTTGTGCCTGGATGTGAAACATAGAGATGTGCGTCATTCCATCAGGAAGTTTTGCAGAAAGGCCCAAGTCTGCCTTTACTGGGGTCTCATGTACTAATCTGAGTTCTTGGAAAAACAGGGACTAATTATTTCCTGTCTTCCCAAATAAGAATTTAAGTATCCAAGTTAAAACACATGCACTGTGATAGTATAAATTAAATCCTGATATGATGAAAGTTTATATTTGTGTCGGGCACAAGAACATACATATTATTTGATTCCCTTTATAAGATTTTAGTCCTTTTGAACAAAAGACACTGATGGTGTTCCCATCTGCCTGATTCAGAGTCCTTGGGAAGAATGCCATTGTTGTTTAGGGAGGGAACACAGAAGCATCTCAAAGGGACATCAAGGTAAGTAAATGACGTTTTGGTTCCATATTGTTGCAGTTAGAAAGTCTGGTGACATTAAATGGCTTTTCTGAGCATTTCTGTAGCTGTTGGAGCACCTGCTAGCATTTCCTGGATTGTCAATGTGGCTCTTCTATGAGGGTTACCCCTCCCATCCTGTGTACTCTACCTCCAAACATTTTTCTTTCCTAACATGCAGCCAGTAGGGAGGCCTGGTAGCCAGCTACTGGAGTGTGTAGAAAGGAGGAATGACTGGCTCTGAGAGAGCAGCTCATACACCATACATATCCTTCCATGAGTACCCAAGTACTTTATTTAGGATTGAATGTTGGGATCTCACTGTGGCTGCCTAGAGGCCCTCTTTGTCTGCTTCTGGATTCTAGACTATTTTCTAAGGGATTAATTTAGCCAAGCGACTCCCCAACAAATAGAGGGATAATTGCATTATCTTGGTAGAATTTCAACAAATAACTATCCCTGAGATAGGCAGAAGGGGGACAAGTCACAGGAAACTTGTTACCAGTCATGAGGATCAAATCTGTGACTGAAGTTGAAGTAGGAACTGTCAAAACAAGCAAAAGATAAATTGTATTTAAATAACATCTTTGTTGATCAAGTTCATTGGTAAAAAATTTTCACAAGAATGACCCTATTTATAAATGTGTCTCAGCACAGTTGATTATGCTTTGTTCCTATTTGATTCTCCTAGCCTGTGTAATCAAGATAAAGGAAACAAATAACGAGGGTGGTGGTGTATGAGTCTTGGACCTGAGTGACTGGTTGTGGTCTCTAGTGTTTGTGTAATGGAGCAATTGACCTTGTATAAGTCCTTTTGCATCTCTAAACTTCAGGTCCTGCAGCATCTGAAGGACCAATCCAAGGACTAGTAGCATCAGTATCCTATTGTTGGAAATGCAGACTCTTGGGCTGCATTGAATCCAAATGTGCATTTTAAGAAATTCCCAAGTGAGTTATGTGCATATTCAACTCTAAGAAGCACTGAGCTTGCAAATGGAGATGCTGCAGGCCAGGAGAATATGAGAGGTCAGGTGCCATGTGAAGGGGCCACCCTGCCCTGCTCAGTCCCAGGCAATTATTGCTCGTGAGGTGTGTAATACTAGTTCCCACTCTCAGATTTTCCAATCAAAGCTGGAAATCTTGGGCTGGAAATGCAGCTCAGTGATAGGGCACTTGCCCGGCATGCGTGAGATCCTGGATTAAATCCCTAACATCATAAAAAGAAAAAAGAAAAGGAAGAAAGTCTGAAATATAGATTCTTAAAACAACAACAACAGCAACAACATTACCACCACCAACAACTTTTGTTTTCAAAATGTGGGATTAAAAATAATTTAAACATGCATTGGCAATGCTGGGTTGTCTGAATCTAAATTCATTTGTGGGTCAAAACTTGTCCAGGGCTGCCCATTTGTGACTTCTGATCTGAGCAATCTCTAAGGGTTCTTCCAACTCTCAGGAATTGTTACATTGTGATGGTCCCATATTTAACTTGTCCTTGCCTAAAAGACTTTGTGGGCAATTCTCATAGCTGTAGTCACAAAAGCGAATTGTGTTTCATCATAATTTCCCTTAGAGGTTAGTCTACCAAGCCTGGCAGAAGGCTTTTGAGATTTTGGAAATACAGACTATGGGCCACTCTCATAACTGTTTACAGTTCAAAGAAAATGTGAGTTGAGCTGCTTTGTGTTGAGGTGGTATTTCTCCAACTTATTGAGCTGCACAATGACCAACTCAAGCCCTAGGACAATCCCTGGTGTGTAGAAGGACTTTTACAAAAGGACACTTAAGTCGCTTGCTTTGGAGAGTCAAGCTAAGTCTTGGCCTGCAGCAGCATGTATGTCCCTAGAAGGGTGACTGGAAGCTCCCACCATGGTGCCCTACACAAGTGTAGACCACTCAGTCCCCAGGACAAGGCTTTCAGAATTGTGTCCATCCTTCTGTTCTACAGGTAAAGAAACAGAAGCCTAAGAGGTCTGGGGACTTGCCCACCATTTCCCACTGGTTAACACTGGAGCCAGAGAACCCAAGGTTATGCTCTGGTGCCAAATAGGGCCACGCTGCATCACCATCTGAAAGTGATGAGAAGTTTGGAAAACATTGGGTTACACCAAATTAAAAAGAGATCTCTCCCTGCAGGACTCATTAGAGACTTGAAAGTGCTAATAGACTGAATCATCAAGAGAAGATATGGTATTTCCCCAAATTATGTAGCTATGCAAATCATTCTCAGAAATTTGCATAACACTGGATGAAGGGACTGTACTCTGAAACATGCTCAGGAGACAAATTGCTCCATTATTTTCTGAAAATATGGATTCAGGTTTTGCCTGAGATGTCTGAAGTCTTGTAAGTTCAAAAATTACAGAAAAAACACTCACGGATTACCCCATGTGCTGACACTAATGAACATGGGAGTGAAGCAGGGTCACTAGAATTTGATCTCAGAGACCAATTGTGGCACCAAAGAGGGAAGGAACACACTGGAATCCTGTACCTTGGTACAAAGGCACCCAATCTGTTCCTTTTATTGTTCTGATTAATGAATATGTAAGCAGCTTACATTAGTTTGATATGAGCTTGATATTTAGTTTCATATGAGATAAAAACTGCGACCCTCATCATATGTAAGACAATCTACTTCTCTGATTTATAGAAAGCAAGAGAGAAAATAAAATTACCCGGTAAAGCGGTCAATTCTGTGGCTGATGCTGAAATGGCAAAACAATCAGGAACTTAGAAGATACATTTTTGTTTAAAAAATTGATACCTCAGATACATTAAGTTAGGAACAAAACAACTTCTGAAGTGTGAAACCAAGAATAAGAAAAGTTTCTTAGTTGATACTCAAATTATTATTCTAACCTGTGGGCTATAGAATTAAGATAAGCTGGGCAGTAGGTATTTTCATTTAATCTGATTTCCTTTTCTATTATACGATTTTTGGCAAGAGAAAGAAGAAAAAAAAATAATGCACAAACTGCTGAATTAAACAAAGCAGAACAAACAAGAGGGGACCACTCCAACCACAGAGGGAGAAGGAAATAGTGTTGAAGTGTTGAAATACTGTTGAGAACTCGGGTTTGGGTCATGGAATTCTCATCAGCAGTGCCACAGTGTCATCTTCAAAGCTCAAAACAGACAATTTGAGGACAAAGACTAGGAAGTGCCTGACCCCATGGTGGCTGACAGGCAGTCTGGGGGGGTCCCTGAAGACTGCAGAGACGGAGGGCTCTACGCTGAAGCAGCTTAGAAAGAAGGTTATAAACGACGGAGAGGCCACCCGGAACCAAGGCCAGGTAGGCTGTGGGACTGAGGGACTTGGGATGATCCAGGTTAAATGATGCCCCATTATTTATTGGCTGCCCAGTGCTGAGAATGGACCTCCGATTGTGTTTGGAGCTTCCCAAGGGGACCCAGACATTCCCATGTCAGTTCCCAGATCCCTGCCAAGAGTCACAGCTCTGCCGGTTTCAGGAGACAGTTGAGAGTGAGTACCTGAGCAGATGACGCCGGCGTCCTCGTGATGGCCACAGTTGTGGACGGACAAACCCAGATGCTGGCATCGGCCTAGCGAGGTCTCAGTGCCCTGGCACTGCACGTCATCCAGAAGGATGCTCCCCACACCCTTCCCGAAGTAGCCGCTCCCCAGGGCGCTGATGCCCTCTCCGCAGCCCAGCTGCCAGCACACCACGTGGGCGGCATCGATGCTCCACAGGTCGTCACACACGGTGCCCCAGGTGCCATTGTGGTGGACTTCAACACGGCCTTCACACCGGCTCCTCCCACCCACCAACCTGATGATGGACAGGTCTGGGGAAGACTCAGAGGTTATTACTGGGACTTCTACTAGGACTTTTCCTTAGTTCTATATCAAACACCTTGGATTCTAGAGCCTCACAGGACTAAGAGTAGTGCTTACAAATGCAGAGCCTGCTTTCCTGGGCTATTTCTGATTTCCACTGTTTTACTCTATCATTCTTATCTTTGGGTTGGGCAAAAGGTTTACAAAAGGATAAAAATAAATATCTATTTTGGAGCTGGAGACAGTGGTACACATCTGTAATCCCAGTGGCTGGGGAGGTTGAGACAGGAGGATGGTGAGTTCAAAGCCAGCCTCAGCAGAAGTATGTGTTAAGCAACCTAGTGAGACCCTGTCTCTAAATAAAATACAAAATAGGGCTGGGGATGTGGCTCAGAGGTTGAGTGCCCCTGAGTTCAGTCCACAGTACCACCCCCCACCACAAGAAAAAAAAAATCTATTTTGGAACCAGGCCATCAGATTGATAGGCAAACTCATTGTCATTGTCATTGACATTGATAGATATCACACCCAACTTCTGGTTTTCTTTAAGCCAAACTTTCCCATTGGCTCAGGTTCAAAGTTAAAAACATCTCAGTAGAACCAGAGAGTAGATGCAATGAGGCTTTGCTTGTAGCCTGTGCCTCTGTTTCAGGTCTGTATTTTCCCCAGTCCCAGGGAGGCATGGATCCAGGAGGGCACTGACATCACTGGCTGTGACCCCATCGACCCCCAGAAAAACCCAATAACCAGGAAGTTGCAGGAGAAACAATGAGAGGATTACCAACTGCAGGAGCTGGGCTTGCCAGAGCTGGGGCCACTTCAGCTGAAAGAGAAGAGGCATTCACATCAGGGGAGGTGAAGTCTGACAAAACGCCACCAGCTAAGCGGGCACGTGAGTCCCATGGGTGCCAGTGTGTGTGTGGGGGGTGCGGTCAGAGCTTCCCAGCAAATGCAGCAGTGCTGAGGGGAGGCCAGTGTCCAGAGGTCTGGCTCATCGGGACAGCCGCTGTGAACCATCTCGGCCTGGCCTGGGCGGGAACCTGGAAGCATCTCTCTGAACTCCACCGGGGAGGAGTCACCTATAGTGGCTCTGGAGATGTGAGGCTAGAGAACAGGATGGTGGACATTTGATGCCGATTTAACTCAGAGTGCTTATCCCTAGACCCCATGAAACACTAAGTCTTCAGATTAAAATACCACCAGCCAACAGAGGGGAGTAGAAATGCCGTCTCCTCTGCCTCATCTTCAGCCCATCTGGGGACCTCATCTCTGCCCAGCCCTGAGGAGACTGGGGTGATGCTGGGCTATGGTGAGACCCCACAATGGAGTGGGGAGTCACAGATATCTGTCGCATGCAATTAATTAGTAACAAAAGCCAAAAAACAGGGATTTAGCATGTTCATTCAGCTGTTTTGAAAAGTTGCCTAAAATTACCCCTCATGGCAAGAAAGTCCCAACTTAGGCAGTCAGCAATCAGGAGAGTATTCAGAGAGCATGGCTCTCTCTGAGAAATATCTTCCAGAGAAACCCACAAGTTGGACACACCTGGGAGAACCATTCCCAGAAGTTAAGAATCACTCCAGGGCGAGGCTCGACTTCTGTTTCTGTGTATGTTTTGGCTCATGGGATTTCTTCTCAGGGCCAGGGGGACTGGCTGTGGTGCATGGCAGGGGATACTACTCTCCTGACATTAGAGTGACCAAGGTCCTGGCTTGTTGGAGTTCAAAGAGGACATGTGACTTCTCAGTGCTAAAGCCAGGACATTCCAGGCAAAGCAGGGCAAGTTCTTGACCCACCTGGGACCCCAGGCCACTCGGGTATCTGCCTGTCAGAGATGACTGTCCTGCTTGGGAGGGAAACCGGGCTCAGCAGAGTTCAGGTACCTGAGCAGACAGCCCCGGCGTCCTCATGGTGCCCACAGTTATGCACAGACAGTCCGAGGTGGTGGCACTGTCCCAGGTTGGTCTCGTTGCCTGTACACCTCACGTTGTCTAGGAAGATGGGGCCGGAACCGTCGCCAAACAGACTGCTCCTGGGAGCTGCCAGGGCTGCCCCACAGCCCAACTGCTGGCACACCACCTGGGCAGCGGGCAGGCTCCAGAGGTCGTCGCACACGGTCCCCCAGGTGCCGTTGTGGTAGATCTCCACTCGGCCCTCGCACGGGTGCTTCCCGTCGGCCAGCCTCACCCCCGGCAGATCTGCAGGAGCAAGAGCTAGTGGGCTTGAGGAGCCTCCTTCAGTGCTCGACGGGACAGCACATCTGGCTGGAGACTCTGGCCCTGGGGTGCAGCCTGCTGGGGGAGAGCATCTATCATGCAGGTGGGGCTGTGCTAATGCGGAGCCTTAGAAAACAGAGGAGCAGAGATGCCTGCTGTCTACCTACAATTTAGCAGACTCCACAGTGGCTCTGCCGGGCTTTGTGGAAGACATTCTGCTTTCACCCTTGTTTACTGTGTTGTGTTCCTAAACATTAAAAACAAGGCAGCTGCATGCTTGGAGCCCAGGTTTTGCATTTCTAAGCCAGATTTCCCCAAACATGATGAGATTATCAGAGCAAAATTAGTTTTGCTTTACTTGAATTTAGAGAGCTGTAAAGTACTTATTTGGGATGACACAGGTGGACAGAGGTTGGAAAATCAGAGGAAGATGTGGAGTCCCAGCTGCAAGAAAGCGAATTATTGACTAAGTAAAACAGACCCTTTGAACCCAAAGCAAGTGAAATTGATTCTCAAAGTCTAGACCTTTGTGAGCAGGACTGGTTCCTGGAATCCCTTAAGCAGAGTGTGGAGTGGGCCTCTGTGCAGGCCTTTGGATGCTGCTGCTGAGGTGGGTGGGGGAGCTGGCTCTCTCCGGGAAGAGAATCCTATACTAGGAGAGTCCTCCAGGGAGCACAGCTCCTTTCCCATACAGAGGTGGGAATAGTATTCACTAACTCTCTGCTGGTCAAATGGTGGGACTCCAGCTTCAGAAAAACTGTTATCAAATGCAAGAATAGAAACAGTACCTATTTGATGGAAAATGTGTGGATGATCCTGATGAGCTGAAGAAACTGTACAGGTACAAAAGAAAAGTAGCCTCCGTAAGTACATTTAAGAAAAAAAAACAATGAAATTTCATATTCATTTCAAATACCGTCTAAGTCATAGGCATTTCACCTTTAAAGAACCCCATTGAGTCTCTGATCACATAGTTACTATTTAAAATGTAATGGCAGCTCATGAATGAATATGCACATTATTTTTATTAAGAAAATAAAAACTATGGGGCTGGGGTTGTGGCTCAGTGGTAGAGTGCTCTCCTGGCATGCATGAGGCACTGGGTTCCATCTTCAGCACTACATAAATGTAAAATAAAGATATTGTGTCCACTAAAACTAAAAAGTAAATATTAAAAAAAAGAAAATAAAAACTAAAACTCATGTTGGGATTTTGAAGCTACGACCCCATACCCAGGGCTGCCTCAGCAGAACCAGAGTTCAGCCGCTGCATCCCAGGTCCCAGGTAGGGCTGCAGGTGGAGAAACAGCTCCTGTCCTTAGGCCCTCCTTCCCCAAACCTCCCTATTCCCAGCCCTCCCCCCCCCCACATCCCCAGGCCCTCCCGACTTCTCTGGTCTGCCAAGGCCTTTGCATGAACTACCATTTTAGGTCAAGAGCTTTTGGGTTAAAAGCAGCTTTCAAATGCAGAACAGACAACACACTGGGCTGTTAAGATCCAGAACACCTTTTCCTCTAGGCACAGAGCAGGGTCCCAGGAGAATGGGAAACAACCCTGGGTCCTTACAGAAGAGTCTGTGCTCAGGGCACTGTCAAGGCCCTTTAAAGCTTGAAAGGGAAACCCATTGTAGAACCCTGCATTAGACAAGAGTCACCAGTCAGCAAATAACAGACACCAAGTCACATATACCTGGATGCTCAGCAGCTTCAGAACCTGCAGAGATAAAGGAGACACCGAGCAGTGTGACATTAGAAACCAGATGGTGCGGAGGTTTGAAGGTCATTTTCTCTGTTTAACATGACTGGAGGAAGTGGAGCGTAACCAATCCTTGAGCATCAGGGCTGTCCCCTCCGGTGTGAGTTCTCACCTGGCTAAAATCTCTGCAGCAGTGATTCTGATAGAATTTCCCTCAGTAACTAAAATGACGCATCTGCAACGTAGCAATACTTTTGTATTATCAGTGGTTTGTCAGATGCTCAAGTAAATGTTCTATGTGTATTGTCTCATTTAATCCTTCCAACAAATCTATGACATGAGTACTATTGTTGTCTTTATTTTACAACCGAGTCACCTTCATAGACGCTCAAGTGGACCAGGCCACCCCATGTGCTAAACAGCTGATATATTTTTCAGAGTTGGAACAGAAATTCCTTGTCAAGGATATGGGGTAGGCTGAAGGCATGAAGTCGTTTGCATATTCTACCTGGCCTGGGCACCTGTGACACTGGCCAAGAGGCGTCACTGGGAGGAGATTTGGGGTCAGCAAGGTACTCTGAGCCACCACTCACCTGAGCAGATGACGCCAGCATCTTCATGGTGCCCACAGTTGTGGGCGAACCAGCTGCCGTGGGGGCACTGTTCCAGGGAGGCCTCACTTCCTGTGCAGTGGACATCATCAAGGAGGATGCGGCCTGACCCAGGGCTGAAGCTGGCCCCTGGGAGGGCAGATAAAGCCAGGCCACAGCCAAGCTGTCTGCAAACCACATGGGCATCCTCGATGGACCAGCTGTCATCACACACAGTGCCCCAGGTGTTGCTGTGGAAGACCTCGACGCGGCCCTCGCACCTGCTTGACCCATTTGCCAGCCGTAGGCCCAGATCTAGGTGGACAATCCAAAGAACACCCTTCATAAGGGCCCATCCAGAAGGGCCACCAGAAAAACCAGCCATTTCCTGGGGTGTGCGCTGACAGTAAAGGATAACGAGTCCCTTCTCCCCTTCACTTCATCTCCTTTACTTTTGTCTTGGGGACCACACCGTGTGCCTTCCATGCTGCTCCCTGGCCAACTGGACTGTGAGCTGCCCCACTCTGTAGCCCTCCTTTCACTGTGGGTTGTGGAGTTGTGGTTCCTGACAAAGAGTTTGTTGGATTTTTCACAAGAAGTAACCAAACACACACTAACTTGTGTGTGTGTATGTGTGTGTGTGTGTGCATGCGTGTGTGTGCACCCTTGCACATGTTGACCAAGTGACAATGACAATAGCTGTCATCTATGTTGTCCCCAGGATCAAGCGTGACCAGTATGTAAAGGGATTTTGAAGGGCAGCCACTGCAGGTGCCACCCATTTTCAAAGGGCAGTGTTATGAAAGGGATTAAAAAACTGGGTGTGTTCAGAACACAGCCAAGGTGAGTTCCTGGGTGGGGGCTGGGAGGAGATTTGGGGTCAGCAAGATGCTCTGAGCCTTTCTAGTTGGCAACTTCCAAACCATCTCACAAGCCGGTGTTTGTTGCATCTCACATCTGTTTCCTCCCTCTCCCTTCTAATCACAGATTTTCTAGTGAACCCAGAGATTATCAGCCCACCCTCCAGCAGCTGCCATTTATAGGGCCAGCCTGAGGCCAGGGAGGAAGTTGGAAGTGGACAGTGTGTCCACCGGGGATCCTTCTTCCCACAGTACTGCTGGAGTCTTTCTGAGCTGAAACTCTATGAAGGGAAAGCAACTGAAGAGAGGAGAAAGGATTGATTACCTGTTGATATGGGCATCTCTGTTGGCTTTGGAAAAGATGCTAAGGACAGAGAGAAAACAAAAGGAAAAAAATATATAACATCTTAGTCCAATGTCTAACATTTAACTTAGTCAGCTGCCAGCGGGCTCTCCACCTTCTGCCTTATCTGTGGGCAATTTCTGATTCTAAATGAGACTCCCCAGCTGGGCCTTTCTCTGCAGACAGTACTCCAGCAGGTGTGTGTGTGTCCAGAAATGACCTCCCCAGAGCTTCCTCTGAGGGTTTGAGGTCACTGCTTTTCCCCAACTCTTCCCTATATTGGACTTTGCACTTAAAGATCAGCCTGGGAAGAATAGCTGAATAAATTTGAAATGTGTAAACAGCTAGGAGCAAACTAAAAAGTGATGCTTTCAGCTTCTTAATTATTAACACTTCTCTTAAGCAGAAGGGAGTGTACAAAGATGAATCCTTGCAGTGCCCTGGCCTTGGAAGTGCTGAGCAGACCATGACTGATGACTTATGTTGGCCCTGCCTCTTGGCAAGCACTGTCCTCACCACTGTGCTGAGAAAGCCAGTGAATTCCAGCAGAGCCCACGGACAAATGCTACCGTCCTTCTCAACCTCATCCAGGGGAGGAAACGGAGGCAGGAAGCAGTTTGGAGATTGGCTAGAGGCCTCACAGCTGGCTAATGATGAAGAAAGGGCGTTTGACCCCTAAACCACTACCATTCTACCCAGGGCGACTATACTAAGGCAAGTGGCAGCCAATTCATTAAAAACAACTGAAATTACCTGAAGTTGTGTAGTGCACAGCAGCTGCTGGTGTTGGGCTAGGCCGAGAGGCTACGAAAGACATAGGAAGTGCAAGCTGGTCATCCTCCGTCACCCTCCTTAAACCCCAGAGTAGACCTGGGGAGAACCCAGACCAGATGCACCCCACCCAGGCCTCTGAGAATGGCCCTGAGTTACCATGGTTACAAACTCCAGGTGTCCTGGATCTCTGGGTCCATTTCTGCCCTGCGGCTAGACCCTGCACTGTCATTTTCTTTTCTTTCTTTTGGTAAGTTGGCCACAGTGATGGTTGCCATGTGTGGAGCACCTCTCCAGCTGCTTTGGTGTTGTGATTTTTCCTGTGTGTGTGTGTGTGTGTGTGTGTGTGTGTGGTGGGGATGGGGGGGCTGTCTTGCCTCCCAGAGTAAATGTCAGCTGTAAAGAGTGACGTCACATTTGTCTCCAGGACGCACACTGGCACCCTCTGTGCAGGGCGGGACAGGAAAGGCTTGTGGACCATGGAGCTGGCCAGGAGCTCCAGGGTAGGGACAGAGGAGAAAGATGCTCCTTCAGGCACCTCTGACTCACCCCAGGCAGCTAAAAGCCCGGCTCCAAACCTCCCGGCTCTTCAAGCCCCCAGCCCTGTCCTCTGATGTCCCACTCAGTGTGTGGCTTCAGCTTCTGCTCCCCTCAGAACACTGATTCTATTCCTTGGCTTCTCTCCTCTCCCCACAGCACCGTCCAGCACGCCACCCCCTTCCTCCTACCCTCTGTAGCTGATTGGCCAGTTTGCCTCTCCCCAGCCAAACCCAGAAGGATGAAGAGATGGGTGGGGACTTTTGACTCCAACTGCTGGATTAATCTGCAGAAATTTGAATGGTTGGAAAAGGAATCAGAGCCCTGGATTAGGACCTGGGCTGCTGGCTGCCAGGAAAGATCTTAGCTCTTCAATTTACGGTGGTGATGTGAAGTTTCTGTATACAAGGAATTCATGTAAGTAAAAATTGAAGAGTCAGTTGAAAGGAAAGGGTTTTAAAAACTACAGAGTGGGTAGCAAGTGGGTACACTGGAGATCCAAGTGGCTGCCACAGGGAACAGTGGCCTGGGGACAGTCCGGGATTCCTGGCTGCTCTGTGCGTGGTTGGCACAAGGCTTGGAGCAGGAATGCCACTCTCTCCACTCCATGCACACAAGTCCAAAACCCACCTGAGCAGATGGCACCAGCATCCTCATGGTGGCCACAGTTGTGGGTGAACCAGCCACTGTGCAGGCACTGCCACAGCCTGGCTTCTGTCCCCACGCACTCCACATCATCCAGGGCGATGGGGCCCACACCTCGCTTGAAATGTGCCCGCCCAGGGGCTGCAAGGGCCTCGCCACAGCCCAGCTGCTTGCACACCACCTGGACGTCAAGTAGGTCCCAGCTGTCGTCACACACGGTGCCCCAGCTGCCGTTGTAGTGCAGCTCCACCCGGCCCTCGCACGGGTGGCTGCCATCGGTCAGCCTCAGGACCACATCTGAGAAAGGGAGATGTGCTCGGTCACCACCCTGGGGCTGCCCTTGGATGTTGGGCCAGAGGGTAATGAGGACACTTCCTCTAGTCCTCGTGCATGGAGAGGAGACACTTGTGGGTTAAAGCTGGCTGCAAAAGCACTTTAGGTTTGATCTCTCATGTCGACTTTTTTTTCCAGGGGGAATATTTTTTTTTTTATTTGTAGATGGATACAATATCTTTATTAGTTTATTTTTATGTGGGGCTGAGGATACAACCTAGTGCCTCCCACATGTGAGGCAAGTGCTCTACCACTGAGCTACAGCCCCAGCCCAAGGGGTGGGATGCGTATTTTTAAAAGCTTTATTCCCCAGATTGGATTGCCTACTTCACAGAGGTCACAAAGGGCCCTGAAGTCCTTCTGTAAAGTGAAAATCATCAGGTCCACCAGCACTGTGGCTGCTCCCAGGGAGAATCGTGTTCTCAGACACAGTTTTGACTAAGGAGACTCCAAGCAGGGCTGAGCAGCCTGACCCTGACATCAGAAGACACATGCGGTGCCTTAGTGCAGGGGACTGTGGGTGCTCGGCCAGTTTCTCAAGCCACTTCTTGGGAGATGTGACTCCCAGAGGCCTTGGGAAACTCTTTTAAATCCCTGGTGCCCAGTCCCCCGAGGAGGGCATCCAACTTCACTGTCATTGTCAAGCAGGGCCAGGTGCTGAAATGACAGAAGGACTTACCCGTGTCATTCTCGTTGTAAACTAGGGACTCATAAGATGCGTAGAAGCCCATGTCGGTGACGATTGCGTCGCTGTGGAACACCACGGTCAAGCGATTGGAGGAGGAGGTAAATACTGGGGTTGTCCCTGAACAGAACCTCCCCAGGGAAAAAGATTCACTTTGTGGGCCATCGAAGACTTCGATGAAGTCGTAGGGACAGCCGTAGAAATTTTCCATTCTGTGAAGTGAAAAGTGGCATTCAAATTCCATCCATAGGGACTTTTCACCCAGTCGGCAGTGACCCAGGTCAGCTCAGGAGGGGTTGGGAAAGCTACCTGAAACCGACCGCTCTTCACATAGGTTGGAACCTTCCCTACTGACCCTACTGACATGGGCAAGAGGGACCTTCCTGCTTCAAATATCTTTAAATTTTTAAAGTTATAACTCAATAGCGTTTGTTCCTTATACATCACAAGCACAGGGAACAGAATTTAAGTGGTGCTGATGACTTATGGTGAAAAGTGAAAATCTCCTGCTGCCCCTGACTAGCCCCCCCCCCCTCACTTCTTTCTCCTTCCCAGAAGCAGTTCCAGTGAATGGCTTCTTTTTATTTCCTTCCAGAGACTGCCCATGCACAGACTATTTAATGGTCTGTGGTTTCTTGCAGCCCATTTTATATCAAGACCCACTATGTGCATGACAGCAACATGTGGATACATGGAAATCTACTTAATGATCCCCTACTGATGGACGGTAGACTGTTTCCAATCTGTTACTACTATGTGCAAGTTGCCATGATTATTTTCAGTGCACATGAGACTCTCTGTAGACCTAATTCCTGGGGCTGGAATTTCTGGGTTAAAAGATCTGTACATTTAAAATTTTGACTTTAAAAATTCAGGTGGAGTTCACCTTTGAGGATTAAATATGGGAGTTTTTGTTTGTTTATTTTGGGGAGGAATGGATGGAAGAGAAAAGATAAACTGCTGTACATAACTGCGTGACAACATTAGTGAAAGTAGAGAACATTTACTTACTTGACTACTTCAAATGTCAGTTTGATGTGCGCCCTGGTGTCCACCTGTATGTCCCAGGCACATACCACATTAGTGGGGTATTTTTTAGGATACCAAGGACTGGAGAAGGAGCCTGAGTTATTTGTGAGCAAACCACCACAGTGGGAGTTGTCATCTGTGAGAAACAGTGAAGAAGCCCCATTAGGAGGGCACTGACTTTTGCTGGAGTTTTGAGCCACTCCAGGGGGACGTGATGAGAACAGAAGCAGGAAAACACGGTCTAGGGCTGCTTCTGCAGAAAAGTCAGCTTTGCAGACCCTCCCTAAGCTCCCAACACTGTCCTCCTGGGCCGAGGAAGACCATTCCGGTGTTCTTGTGAGGAGAGGATGATTGTACACAGGGTTGGACGGGCTTTACGGACCTTGTGCACAGATGGGGCAAACCAGAGTAGCCTTTCTCAGTATAGCATGTTATACAACAGCTTGTATGAGACAATCCCTTGTGGTATTTGTTAAAGTAATGAATTGGGAGGACACGAAACTGATCAAGTGCCCTGGATTCCTACAAGCACACCAAAACTCAGCTCATTATGAATGGTCTTTGTCGATCAGAGACTATTCACTGAACCCTAACTAGGCACTTCCCGCTGAAATGATCTAAAGAAGGCCACTGCCCAATTCCCAATCCAATATTTTCTTTGCTTTGCTTCTGGGTTCACCCTATCAAAGTCTGCCCCTCAGTGGAGCCCCTGAACCACTCCGGTTAGGAGATGTTCAATTCAAAATGGCTCTCTGTTCAAATAAATTCTTATAAAATTTTAAGATATCAAAATTATCTTTTGATAATTATATACAAATCCTAGTTGACATGAAGATCAAGGTTACATAAAGCATCCAGTGTATGGCTGCAATATTGGCCTTGGTATGGAAGTGGTTAAAGGGCTCTGTCCAGCTACTTCTCAAATACAAAAGGAAGAAAGGACATTTGTCCAGTTACAGGAAGAGTTGACACTGAAGTGAAACACACACGGGACCACATGGGGAGCTTGCATGAGCTGAAGTACCTGTAAAGGGACTGTCATCAGTGACACCTGTGAAAATACAGAACAAGAGTAACACCATGAGTGAGGGTCTCTGTCCAGAACACTCCTTTAAAATACTCAGAGCACTGGCCTCCAATACTAGGATTTCTCTGTCCCCCAGTGGACAGAGATGACTCTGGCTTCTCAAGAGCTTGGACCTTCGAACACCAAGTGTGCGGATGGGTGTCACCCATACAGCTTGTCCAGGGCTGGCCTGGGGTTCTCATAGTCTCGCTCCCTCCAGCATCTCACACACGGCCATGGCTGCAAGCAGTCAGCCTTCTCTTCGCAGCAGGTACTGGCTCAGAGTCCCGGTGGCTGACAGGTCGTATCTCTGGTGAATCTGCTCCTTCCCTCCCTCTTGCCTTTCTTCCCACCTTCTGCAGCCCCTCGGCCCCACCATTTTGTCAGTCCTAATGGACTGCACTGCTCTTGTTAATTAGCCACGGAGCACTCCACTGGACTGTGCCCCAACCTCAGGATTAAACAGTAGCCAGGATTCACATACACCAGGGACCTGGCAACTGGTCGAACCATATGGAAAAACAGTACCTGTTGGTCCTCCCTTTGGATTGCCACCAATACCTATTCAGAAGTAGGTGAGAGAATGAGAGAGGATTGAGTAAGGTGTTCACACAATTCATGAAAAAAATCGAGCACTTTGTTCAGGATCAAGCATATTCTATTCTGGGCAGTTGGTGACATGGTGTCGAAACTCATTAGAGTTGGTTAAAAGATCAGTGCCTCCTGGTGAGGGAGCACACTTTGCTCTTGGGGACTCAGATGCTACATGTTTGCTTTTGACAAGTTTCTGGGTTGACTGGGCTTTCCTGACGGGGTGATCTGTCCTGAGCACAGGGCCTTGGCGAGACATAAGACCCGCGTGTGATCTTGGACAGGCCTGTGCTGCCTTGTCAAGGGCAGATGCCTGTAGTCTCCATTAGAGGCTGGGAAGATTGAATGGGAGTGTGAGGGCACAGGTTGCCACAAGAGGTTGGCATGGCTAAGCACTCGATGGGCACTGACTCCTCTTCCTACTCGGGAGAGCAGTAATCACTGATGCCCTGGAGGTCCCTCCAGGAATAGGACATCTGCTGAGACTAACCCTCTATTGAGTCACCTCAACTTTCTACGGGGAGCCGTTAACATTTTACAGGTGCCGCAGTCGAAGAAGGAACTAACTCTTAAGCAAATTGACTTAAGGAGCTGGCCTGACGCCCAGCGCTTGCCTGGACTCATTGCCTGCTGCTGTTGACATGTCCCTTCCCAGAGGCTACCATGGGTGACATCCCCTCTGAGGTGTGCAGTGTGCTCACAGGTGCTCACCGGAGCAGATGGCGCTGGCGTCCTCGTGGTGCCCACAGTTGTGGGAGAGCCACCCGTTGTGTGTGCACTGCCACACCTTGGCCTCGTTCCCTGTGCACCGCACGTCATCCAGCATGATGTGACCAGTGCCCCCGTCAAAGTAGCTCTGAGCTGGGGCTGACAGGGCCTCGCCACAGCCGAGCTGCTGGCACACCACCCTGGCGTCGTTCAGGTCCCAGCTGTCATCGCACACCGTGCCCCAGGTGCCGTTGTAGAAGACCTCCACCCGGCCCTCACACCTGTGGCTGCCATTCACCAGTCGCAGGGACATCTCTGGGGACAGGAAAACGGGGGCTTCTGAGCTGTGGTGCTGTCCACAACCCTAGGACCTTCTGCAGGTAGAAAGCGTTTTCTGGCACGTGGGCACGGGTTCCCCTGCTGGGCTCTGAGCCCCTAGGAAGTGTGTCCCTGTGTCCTGATTTACCTGGAATAGTCTTGGCCATGAAGGGGGAAGATCAATCAATGCCTGCTAATTATTTTAGAACCTCTTTTAAACTCATAAAAGTATCCCAGCTGGACAACTTACACAGCCCCCAGGTGTGAGCCACCCGAGTGCAGTGGCGTGTTCCCTATGCCTTGTGGGAGGACCTCAAAGAACTGGAAATGATCTGAATGGTTTTGTACTGAATTCAGCTGGGAGCAGGTGGGCTGCTAGTTGCAGTTTCCCACAGTTTTGGTCCAGATTGATTTTCCTTCCCTTGGAGAAGGAGGCTCTCATTTGGGTCCTTTACCAACACACATAGCCAGTACAAGATAGGAGACCCCGGCCATCTGTTTCTTCAGTGCGGGTGACACTGGGTGGCAGAGCAGGGGTAAGGACGGTGTCTGGGGCTTGTGTGGATGTCACTAAGGTTGTCAGCAGTGGGGGTGATTCCTCAGATTAGATTCAGAAAGTGCCTCCTCTCTTAAAGGGACAGGATGCGAGTTAGACATAATTCCTGTGAGGTTCACGTCAAGATACTCACCACTCTCCCTTTCATCTTGCGGAATGGTGTTGTACAGAGCATAAAACCCCGTGCTGGTGATCATGGCATCACTTCTGAACTCTACGGTCATGATATTCGAAGACGAGAGGAATGTGAGCTCTTCCCCAGCACAAAATCTGCCCATGGAGAGCGAGGCAGCTTGCCGTCCATCAAACACTTCCACAAAGTCATAGGGACATCCATAGATGTCCTCTAGTCTAGGACAGGAAGGCAACGTTAGACTCCCAGGAGATCTGGGCAGGCATCCTGCCATCTTCTCCTAACCGGCCCCTGCTAACCACATGACCTTTGAAGGAGCAGCCTGAATCTGCCTCCCATCCTTCCCTCCTGGGACCACCCAGTTATCCGACTCCCATCTCTCACCTGGTCCATTTTAGTGATCTCCCACCTGGAATCCTGGCTCTCAGCTTCCCCCACCCCTTTTCTCTCTACCTTGAGTGTCTCCTTAATGTCCCCTGACTCTTTCATTTAAATCCTGCCACTCCCTGGGTGGTGGTCAATGTTCATCAGGGGCTCCTGAGTCATAATCAGGAAGACTCCTGAGGGTGGAGAAATAATGAGAGCTGTAGAGAGCTCCAGGCCTCGTTGGGTGGACTCTTCCCCCCAGTGCCCCAAACTGCCTAGTCCAAACCAAACGCTTTCACCCAGGTTCCATCCCACCTGGATGACCAGAGGCTTCTTGACCGTCCCCTCCACTGCTTCCCCCTCCTCACCCTCTCGCCCACAACTGTAGACGTGTGCATTTTTCTTCACAGCACTTGTCAACTTATTGCTGAGATTGTCCACTTAGTTTTTGGTTTATTTGAGCACTGTCTTTCCCTCTAGGATGCAAACAGGATGGAAGAGGGCTTGTCTGTCTTGTTTGGTGTGATAAGCCCACTCCTAGACCAGGCCCCCACAGAGTGGGGCTCAATACACATAAGTCCTATAAGTGGTAAAATCTCTTCAAGTTCAGAACCTCATTGTGAATCATAACTAATTTTATGTCTTGAGAAACAAAAAGCAAATATTGATAAATCTAGACTTAAAAACATAGAAACCCTCCCAAATTAGCAACTGTGCTCTGATTCTAGGCAACACATTAAATGCTTTCTTGATTGTGTGCTTCAGAACTGTAGTAGGAACTTTACGTCGTAACAGCGACCTTTTCATTAGAGGGGATGTGAGCCATTACAGTTGTTTGGAATAACTATTTTCCAGAAGTGATAAAATGAGATGCTGTGTCTTAATAAACCATTAGAACTTCAAATTTCATATATTTGAAATATGTGATACCAAATCTCCTCACATGGTTTTCTACAAATAAATGCATATTGAATGAATGGATGATGAACATAGATTGCTCATCATGTGTAACCCCTGATGTTCATTTATGTCCTCTCTAACCAAAATGAATTTATCAGCCAGGAGACACCAGTGGACTCCACCCTTTGTTCTACTGCCTGCCCTTTTTATGCTTCTGAAGACAGCAGTTAGCCGTTCAGACCCTGTGCTGCTGTGGCTGATGATCGCAGGCAGGAAGAAGCAGCAGAGATCTGAGACACACTGCAGGACAAAGTCAAGAAGAGAGAATAACCCAGATACAACCAGTGTAGACAGGTGGGAAGGTGATTTTTTTTTAGAAAGTTACTCATGTGTATGGTGTATGAGTGAATATATATATATATATATATATATATCTCCAACTGGCCCTGCACACCTGTGGGTTCTGCACCTGAGGATGCAAATCAACGTGGATCACAAATACTTGAAAAAAAAAAAAACGCCTCTGTACTAAATCAGTCCTAAAACTCCAGACTTTTTTCTTATCTTGATTCCCTAACATTACAGAGTCCCAGCTGCTTGCATAGCATTGACTTTGAATCAGGTTGGTCAGTCATCCAAGGTGATTTGGGGTACACAGGAGGATGTGTGGGTTCTGATTTATTAGAGGATTTGAGCATCTGTGGGCCTGGTAGCTAAGGGTAGGTGGGGGACCCAAAACCAATCCCCTGTGGATACTGATGGTCAAATGTATACAGGGACATATAAAAATACATCAAAATAGGATAAATTCCTTTAAAATGGGTAGTGATTGGAGAAAGAAGTAGGAAGTGTGAGGTTCATAAATGGAGGAATAAATGAGCTGCTCAATTTGTAGAAGAGATGTGGTAGAAATTCATGGAGGGAAGAGAAACCAGATTTGCCTTGGGTGCATCAAAGGGAACAAAGATGGGGCAGCGGGGAAGAGCAAAGCAGATCTGGATTCAGCAGGGGGAAGCAGCCTGTGTCTTTGGTGATCTGGCTGAGGTGGAGGGGTGAGGTGTTTGGGGGTGGCCACCCCGCAGGGGCTCCAGGGCCCGCTGTTCATGGGTTATTCTCTCATTGCAAAGGAAGTTGAGCTAAATGACTGAAAGACCCTCACAGCCCAGGTGATCAGACCAGTTCTCACCTAAATGTGAAAGGATTTGAGCCACAGAAAGGCTGCCTCTCTGATGAGACCCCGGGTCATATTCCACCTGGCTTTTGAAGTAGAGAGAGGCGAGGCCACTCACCTAAGGCTTGGGATGGTCAGCTGTATGTGGAACTTCTCAGCCACATGTATCACCCAGATGCACTCCACGTCGGTGGGGTAGTTTGTAGGATACCAAGGACTGGAGAAGGAGCCTGAGAGGCTCGAAAGGACTCCCCCGCAAGAGTTACTTCCCTCTGTGAGAGCAGAAGGGAGACCGTGGTTGGCCTCTATAGGCATGCACCCTGCATTTTCTCAGATGCAGGAACCAGAATTCCATCAAGCTCAAAAGCAGAATCACAAAAAGGGGAGGGACTATGCTGGTCTGGGCATGGCTGTGGCTTGGCTGGTGTGGGTGGTACACCTCTCAGGGGGCATGTGGGAGGATGAAAGTGGGACCTTACAATCAACTGTGGGTGAGACTGGAAAAGGACTGGACACATGCAGGTGACATGTGGGTGTGTCCAGGCTGTACTTCTTTAATGCTCTCCCCAGGTTCCTGTCACACAATCCAGCTCAACTCAGGTGTGGACAGCCCACCCCTCTGTGAGGGCTCGATCCCACCCATTCCTCCCCCTCATGGCAGACTGGACAGTTAGAAGTCCATTCTGCTTTTATGAATTATCCAAATGATCTCACTTGATGCTTTATAGGCCATGATTTCAATGAAGAGGGTTACCTTTTGGTATAGGCACTTGAGCAACAGCAGCTGCAAAATACAGAGAAAACCAGGAGAGAGCTGAGCATCATAAAATCACACTTGCAAAACAAAGGAGGCTGGGGAGGGAATAATGGAAATAGATTGGACTAGTGGGGAGGGGACTAGGAAAGACAGTAGAAATAACTTTCCTAGCCTTGTATTTGTCCACATGACCAAGGTAACTCCTCATTGTGTTTGACCACAGAGTGGGAACCTCATAGAATAAGTTATACTGTGTGTATGTATATCCTGCCAAAATACATTCTACTGTCATGTGCAACTAAAAACTTAAAAAATAAAAGATTTTTTAAAAATCACACTTAATTAAGAGCAAATGAATGAACATGTTACTACTCTTGGGTTTTACTAAGTAGTGTGGACCCTCTCTCTTTTCTCCCTGATCTAGGGTGGAGCTGGTCCATTTCTTTTGATGGATTCACCAGATAATCACAGACAGTGTCCAGCGGCGTGACATCTTTTCTCTTCTGTGCTTGGTCCACCAAACCCAAGGGCTGTCCTGAGACTGATTGGTCACTGTGAATGACCCACAGTAACATCACTGGGCTTGTTGACCATGCCACTGTGTCTGTAAAAATTGATCAAGTGCCAGAATCCAAGAGGAGAAAAACCAGAATCCTAGAGCCAGGGGCGGGAGGGGTAGGCTGGAGGGTCCTGTGAAGGAAGGTGGGCTTCAGGGCTGTTTAAGGTCCCTTCTTTCTCCTTTCATGCATCCTGTTGGCTTTGATTTCTATGTAGCACGTATTTCAACACTCAATATCCCGTATTCTCGGTCCTCTCCCCACAAGGCTGGCTGAGGGCAAGGGATTTTTGAAAGCATGTCCTTTGGGATGTGCCACCTGCCTGAGTTTACAGGAAGGCTTGGTGGGAGGGAGTCTGAAGCACTCAGGCAGAGGGTTGAGAATTCCTTTACCCTGTCATCTTGCTCTGCAGCCAGCTCTGCTGCAAGGGGCAGAACAGTGAAGTGAGGGATGCTGTCCACTTTCCTGTCCTTTGTCCTTTGCCCAGGACAGGTTTGGGGATCAACAGAATGATTTTTGTTCCAACCTTCAGCGTCTCAGAAGCAATTTTCTTTTGTTAAATGCTTGATATACAGTATTTCTCTCAGCAAATTAAATGGCAAAAGTATTATATTTTTGTGCCTAGATAGAGGTCTCATACTCTATCAGTAAGTGGTTTGCTGGATCAATGCTCACAGATGGACACTATTTACGCACAAATGGTCCTGTTCCCACCCCCCACCCCCAGTTTCTTTATTCCCATGGCCCATTCTCTTCTCCAGTCATCGAGGCCTCTATGCTTCATAAAAAGGGATCTTGGAGTACAGGGAAAAAAGAAAGGCCCCTGAGGTTTGAAACCCTGGGCTCCAGGAGGACTCGGGTGCAGAATCAGCAGAAGCACTGAAAGCCTCACCCTCCCTTCTCCTATCCAGGCCTCCTCCTCCCTGACCCAGGCTACAACAGATTCCTTACCAGGGAAGAAGAGGAAAGCCAGGAGGAATCAAAGGGGCTCAGCTATTCGTAAGACCCTGAGAAGGGATCCTGTATGCTCTGTCTTCCCTCCAGGGCTGCTATAAAATTGTGGGTCCCCTTGTGAAATGAAAATGTGGGGCCTCAGTCAGGGATGGAGAGATCACTCTCCTCTTTCCACAGGACCACTGCTCCATCCACAGTGAATGTGAAGCCCTCAAGGGATGGTGATGTCTGTCCTGTGGTGCACACAGGCCCTGGATTGAAGTGGGTAAGAGACCTCCACTAAGTTTCCACAGATGTGCCATGGTGCTGTCAGCCGGGTAGGGACAACTTCCAGCCATCCTGGGGGCCCTGAAACACCATAGGATGCACCCTCAATCCTGGCACCATCCAGTGCCCAGCCCCCAGTGGCAACAGTCAATGGCAGAGACAGAGAGGACCTAGGCCAAGCCCTGGGAGCTGGGGTCAGGGAAGAAGGCAGCTGAGAACCTGTCTTAGAAGCAGAGGGAAGAGGCAGGGCCACACGTGAGCTGAGTCTATATGGAATTGTGAGTTTGGGAGAAGGTCATTGCAGCTCGTGACTTTGAGTAGGTTACGAGAAGTTCTACTCTGTTGTGTTGGATAAGCCAAGGAATCCAAGGCAGAGCCCCCAGATGGTTTGTTTCCTTCTCTCTCTCCCCCCGCCCCCTCTCTCTCTTTGGTGCTGGATATTGAATTCAGGGATGCCCTACCACTGAGCTATATCCCCAGTCCTTTTTATTTTTTATTTTGAGACAGGGTCTTAGTAAGTTGCTGAGCCTGACTTTGAACTTGTGATCCTCTTGCCTCAACCTCCCAAGTTAGGATCACAGGTATGAACCACTGCACCTGCCCAAATGGTTTATTTACCAGAGGTCTGTTACTGAGCATCGGGAACAGAGTTTGCCATTGAATGCACCTTTGTTTCTGTTTGTTTCTCTGCACACTTTCATTTTCTAACCCACGTCCCTGAGATGCAAACCTTTCTACCTTCTCTCCTCTCCAGGCTGACCCTCTCCTCAGTCACAGTGATTGAACCATTCTTCTTCTCTCTCCTCCTGTGCCTCCTTGCCCTGCCACTAGACAGGGCGAGTTTTGAAAGTAATTCCATTTGGGAAACATGACTCTTAGTCCCTCGTCTGAGCTACTGGCTCTCAACCTGAGCCGCACATTGCATCACATGGGGAGATTTAAGTATTAGTGATGAGTGGGAGTCACCCCAGAGGTTCTGGATTTGACTGGTCCTGGGTACAGTCAGGACACAGGGAATTTCAGAAGCTCCTTGGATGGCGGCAGTGTGCAACTGTAATTGGAATTCAGTGATCTGGTCACTGTTCACCAGGGTCTTGGTCAGGACACCGGTCAGATTCCTCTTTAATTTTGCAGAAATGGAAATTCCCAGTGTTGGACCTACCTCTGGGTGTAGGAGTCACATCTGTAGCCCAGTTCCCAGCACCTGCATGTATGGAAAATAAGCAAATTTAGTGATCTAACTTAAATTCTATGAAGACAAAGAAATGGCTTTCTAGGGTGGGCAGGTCTGAAGCAGGCAGGCCTCATGTTACCTAAGTAAGCACAAGGATGCGGCTTTCTTAGGAAAGACACCTAGGAAATGTGCAGAGAAGAGGACCAGCCAGTTGAGTGGTCTGGTGTGCTTATCCTCAGAACAGTGAGCCCCTCAGCAATCTCTGGCTACCTGGCTGAAGGGATGTTCATCTGATGGCCACTGTCCTAAGATTCCCTGGCCCTACTCTATCTATGCATGGTCTCCATCTATCACTAAGACCCCTCATAAAAAGAACCCACTGTGAGAGGGGAGGGTACCTGAGCAGACAACACCAGCATCCTCATGATGGCCACAGTTGTGGTCTGACCAGCCAGAGCTGGGGCATTGGCCAAGGTGGCTCTCACTTCCTGAACACTGGATGTTGTCCAGGAGGATGTCTCCAGAGCCTGGGCCAAAGTGGGCCTTTCCAGGAGCAGCAATGGCCTGTCCGCACTCCAGCTGTCTGCACACAACCTCAGCTTCCTTCAGGTCCCACAGGTCATCACACACGGTGCCCCAGGACCCCTGGTGGAGGACCTCCACGCGTCCTGAGCACCTTCCGGAGCCGCCCACCAGCCGCAGCACTGGTCCATCTTCTAAACAGAGGAGGATTTTATTTTTGAATTTTGAAAGTTTAATGTAGGAAGTGGCTTCTAACTCCCATGCCATGGCCAAGGCAGACAACACAAGAGCCAAACCTTAAAGCTGTCTTGGTTTCATAATAGGCAGAAGGGCTTAGAGTGAGACAGAAATCGGGTTTGAATCCCAGTTCTACTGCTCTCTAGTTGCGTAACTTTGACAAATTGTTTTGTCTCTCTGAGCTTCGGTTTCCTCATCTGTAACATGGGAGGTCCAGCAGCACCTACCTCAGAGGGCTGCAGGGATAAATCAACCAGGATGTCCACATGAAGGACACAGCTCAGCCCCGGCAACATGGTCACAGCAGATCTTTCCATGTGGTTCTCTGTATCAAAATGCCTAGCTACTGGGGAAGCAGATTCCCAGCTGCTCTTCTTTGGTGTTACTTGGATAAGTATAGGTTTAGTCTGGCTGTGACTTCATTGAATCAAATGGCAATGGCAATTTCTGGGTCAAAGGGCGGTGGCCAGTTGGAATTACCTGCTGCCTCCTGGCGCTACCCTAAGGACAGCCTCTTCTTACTGTGCCCACAATAAGGCTCCTCCACTCTGCTCCAATATGTCCAGCTCTCCCCTGGAGGCCTTTGCATCTGCTGCTCTCTCTGCCTATCATTCCTCACATGTCACCTCCTCAGGGGTACCCCTTCCCTCAGGCACTCTCTACTAGGCCACCTGCCCTTTCTTCCCAGCCCTTATCTGCACCTTTTGTCATCCCTATCCCCAACTCCTCCTGTCTATTTACTTGCTTCTCTTGTCTTGAGCCTCTCCTCTTTCTGGCACCCACACTGGAACACAGGGCAGGGAGCCAGTTCTGTGCCACACACTTCCAACAAGCCTTGAGCATGAAGAACCTGCCTGGCTATTATTTAATGAGTGAATTGTGGTCATGAGTCAAAGAGTGGTCTTGATTGCAAATGCTGGGGGTTCCTTACCCCAGGGCAGGGTCTCAAACCCGCCTTTGAAGGTCAGATAAGAGAAATTCCCTTCACAAAAATCACACAAACTCAAACTGCAGCTGGGGACTTATTACTTGGCTTTCTGAAGGCCTAAAAGAATTACCAAGACTCCCCCTGGACTCTCTGAGCACCCAAGTCCCTAACTGGAAGGCAGCGTGCTTTCAGATTGAAAATTGGGCTAATGCTGGAATGGCTGCTTATAGGGCCATGGATAACAGTGGTCCTAAGCCTCTCCTTGGATGAGACCAGGCACCGTGTGTGGAAGTATGAAATGGACAGGTGGTAGAGAAAAGCGCCACCTCTAAGGCTCCCATGTTTCAGCACTCTGGACAGTTCCCGAGGTGCTGACAATAGCAGATTCAGCCGGAAGACACTGCATAGCTTACAGCTGTCCCCAGGATGGTTGCTGCCTGGCCATTTACACTCTGGATACACATCACTACTTTACTGTAGCTTGCCACATGGCCCTCTGTGGGAAAATCTAGCAGGTACTGAGCAGGGCGGATGGAGCGAAGAGTGAGGATCTTTGAAAACAGAATCCCAAACCTCTGTCATAGGGGAGCCTCTCAAGTGAGAAACTGCTCAGTTATTCACAACATCAAAAGCTACATCAAAAGGCTTCCCACCTGACTCCCTTTCACCCTGTGCAATCGCATTGAACAGAGCATGAAAGCCGGTGTTGGTTATCATCGAATCGCTGCGGAACACCACCGTCATGATGTCTGAGGAGGAGAAAAATAGCACAGCTGCTGGGGCACAGAACTTCCCCATGGAGAGCGAGGCAATCCTGGGGCCATCGAAGATCTCCACCGAGTCATAGGGACAGCCTAGGATATCTTCCAGCCTGCGGGAAGAGAAGTGGAAGGTAGTGGCAGGTTAGAAGTGGAAGGTAGTGGCAGGTTAGAAGCTTCCTAGATGTTAATGCTCCAAGTGTGACAATATAGAGCTCGAATATGTGGATCAGAGCTTAAGTTTCACACTAACATAGAAATATTGATTAATTTTTTCAGATGCTTTCTCAGAACTCCTTTTTCTTTCCCTGAGGAATGTGTGCAACATATTTATGACAGAAGTTTTAAAATCTTAATTGGCCAGTCCCAACCTGCATAAGACATTAACAAATAAAAACAATATTTGTTATTACTGTAATAATACTGCAGCTAAATCAACAGTCAGATCACCTGATGATCAGCATGTAATGGGTGTCACAACCAGATCTCCCTACCTCTACGATTCACAGTATCTTCCATAACATCCAAATTCTTAGGAGGAAAAAACTTGATTTTAAAATGAAAGCAATAGCAGCATATAGAAGGGTATTTGCACTTTGGCCATTTACTTATGGGGGATATGATGAAGAGTGATGCTGAGGAAATACACAGCCCACATCATGATAGGCCGGGGAGGTGGACATTCAGGCTCCCCCTTCACTGTGGGATAATTACGTCCCTGTGGCTTCAGCCAACAAAGGTAACGTGGCTTAGGACTTTATTATTTTGTTTGTTTTGTTGGACCGTCTGCATCCATGGCTTGGTGTAGTCATGACTGATCAACAGTTCAGAGCCTGGCCGAGGCTGGGTTATCAGGGATCCACAGCCTTGTCAGCGTGTGCATCGCAGGTGTCGTGTACAAGAAAGGTCCTGTGCAGACTCTGCTTGAGGGATCACCGATCAGTGAAGAGCTGAGTTCCGTGTCTGACAGACATACATGGGTTGGCCTTGGGAAATGTATTGTCCCCTGGGAGTCAGTTTCCTCACCTCTAACGGGAATGACAACGACATCTATTTGGGAGCTGTATTAACCCCCAAAGCATAAAGGTGTACAGGACAGTGTGGGCACACAGTCATCCTTTAAAAAGTCAGCTATTATGTCACTGAGACAAAAATATGGCAGTGACTAAGGACTACACCTGTTCTCTTCATGTCAGGATGAGACCATGTCTTTTCTGTCTCCTTTCACTTTGTGGAACACTCAGAAGATACACGTCCCTGGACTGGAGTAGTGGGCCAATGTGTGCATAAGGAAAGTCTCCTACTGTTTGTTTAAAATTTAAATTTAAAAAATAAATTTTAAGAAGAAAACTATTGGCACTCAGTGTATTACAAGGGAAAATGTGTTGAGTATTTTGTGATAATTTTAGGGGAAAAAAAATCAAAAGAGAAACTATCCAGGGAAGGTCAAGTGAATATGTTCACCAACAAAGTCTCAAGCTTATAATTCTGTAAATATTTCAATGAGATTGATAAAGACACATTAAAATGGGTTAAAAAATCATAATATAGACTTTGTATCCCTCATAAATATTTTCATATGCATATGGGAGGTGGATATGTACCTCTAATCATTCACCTATTATTTTTCTCAAAGGATTAGACCCATAAAACATGATAATTATTTCAAAGTTACCATAAGGTACTCATTTTAATTTTTTACAGGTGTTTCATACCTGGTAAATGAGCAAAGTGGGTTAATAAGCTACTTACTGAGTTTTTTAAGCTAGAAGTGACTCAGTGCATAACATTATGAATGTAAGCCAAATTTGACTTGGAAAGATGGTAGAGTTTTGTGTTCTTCTGGGTCCACCCTTAACTGTTTCCCACTAAAAGAGATATCTTCATCATAATTTTACAACTGATATTGTTATGTGAATATTTAAAAGTTTTCTTACTTCAAACTTGGAATCGTGAGCTCTATGCGGAATTTTTTATCCACATGAATTTCCCAAACACATTGGATGTCTGTTGGGTAGTTTTCTGGATATCGTGGACTAGAAAATGAGCCAGAGAGACTAGAAATGACCCCTCCACAAGAGTTACTTCCTCCTGAAACAACAGGAAAGAAAAGATGTCAGGATGGTGTCACCCAGTGATCCAGTGAAGTCCAGTAGCCTTGTCTGGCTGGACACACAGAGCCATCTGAGCCGTCTTTAGCCTTCATTTCTCTTAGGAAGGAGAGTGCATTCAATATGATTCTGATGGGTCAAAAGTGTTAACCATTCATGAAAGTTCCTTGTCTTTCCCTCCTCATTACCACCTGATAGAGAAGTGTGACCTTTGTCCTCTCTGCCTACTGCCTCCTTCCCTGGGGTTTTGCATGCTGGGAGAGAGGCTGAGCAGATCTACTGACTGAGAGGTTGGGAAGGAGAGACAAAGAGGTTGTGCACCCATGTAGGGGAGAGACTGGGGGGTCTGGGGAGCAAGAGGCACTAGAACAACTCTGGGGTCTGATGAGTCCGAGATGAAGGGAAAGGGACATGGAGCACTGCTTAGGGAGGCTGTGACTGGGACTCCCTCGAAGTACTTTTTCATAACTTTTCCCTGGTAGATTGTGTTTCCTTTAATTCAGTTGTACTCACACTGGAACTTGTAGTTTTTTGGACTTATAAGGGTAAACAAGATAACAGTGTACACACATGGGTACATTTAAAGCAGCATGACACGTAAGGAAGCAGAGACTTAGAATACCAAATGATCTTGGAGGAAGCTTGAAAACACAACCAGCTTTATTGACCTTGTCCCTACATATTGTAAAGTTGCTTAAGTTTTCTTCTTTCTGCTCCTCTGGCCAATTTGCAGTCCTATCACAGTCCTGCAGATTGCTCGTCCTTCCTGAGATGGATGTTGGGAAGAGGTAGCGCTCCTGGTTGTCCTAGAGTTTTATCACTAATCACATCTGTAGGTCACAATGACAGAGCCAGGTCAGCCTGACACTGAAGCCCCCAAGAACGGAACTCCCTGTACTCTCTCCACACATGTGGCAGGGGATGGTGGGCTGCTGCCTCCTCTCTACAGGACTGTTCCCAAAGAAGGCAGGCTGAGCCCGGGCCTGATGGGCTCAGGAGCCACATTCTCACATCTCTCGTCAGCCTCCTGCCTACTCTGACCTGCTCCTATCATTAAAAGTTCAGCATTTATATACAGATGTAATGCAACTCGTATTAAAATTCCAGTGATGTTCTTCATATAAATAGAAAAAGCAGTCATGAAATTCATTTGGAAAAATAAGAGGTCCAGAATAGCCAAAGCCATCCTTAGTGAGAAAAGTGAAGGAGCAGGCATCACAATACCTGGCCTTAAATATACTACAGAGCTATCATAACAGAACCACATGGTATTGACACCAAGACAGACATGAAGACCAATGAAAAAGACAGAAGACACAGAGACAAACACACACAAGTACATTTGTCTCCTAGACAAAGGCATCATAAACATACATTTTAGAAAATATAGCCTTTTCATCAAATAATGCTGGGAATACTGGGAATCTATATGTAGCAGAATGAAATTGAACCTCTATCTCTCATCCTGCACAAAATCCAACTCAAAGTGGATCAAGGACCTAGGTTTAGACCAGAGGAGTTTGCACCTACTAGAAGAAAATGTAGGTCCAAATCTTCATCATGTTGGCTTAGGAACCAACTTCCTCAATAAGATTCCTAAAGTGCAAGAAGTAAAATCAAGAATCAAATGGGATGATATCAAACTAAAAAGCTTTTTCACAGCAAAGGAGACAATCAAGAATGTAAAGAGAGAGCCCACAGAATGGGAGAAAATCTTTACCATCTGCACCACAGATACAGCATTAATCTCCAGGATATATAAAGAACTCAAAAAACTTAACCCTGAAAAATGAAATAACCTGATTGATAAATGGGCAAAAGAACTGAACAATCACTTCATAGAAGAAGAAATACAAATGGTCAGCAAATATATAAGAAAATGTTCAACATCTCTAGCAAGTGGAGAAATGCAAATTAAAACCACACTGCAATTCTATTTCCCTCCAGTCAGAATGGCAATTATCAAGAATACTCATACATTGCTGGTGGGACTGCAAATTGGTGCAATCACTTTGGAAAGTATTAAGGGGGTTCCTCAGAAAACTTGGAAGGGAACAACCATTTGACCCAGCTGTCCCACTCCTCAGTCTATACCCAAAGAACTTAAAATCGGCATTCCACAGGGACACAGCCACATCAATGTTTATAGCAGCTCAATTCATAATAGCTAAGCTATGGAACCAACCTAGGTGCCCTTCAACAGATGAATTGATAAAGAAAATGTGGTGTATATACACAATGAAATATTTCTCAGCCATAAAAAAGAATGAAATTATGACATTTACTGGTAAATGGATGGAACCCGAGACTATCATGCTAAGTGAAATAATTCAATCCCCCAAAACCAAAGGGTGAATGTTGTCTCTGATATGCTTATGCTAACACACAATAAGAGGTGGAGGGAGGAATACAAGTTCTTTGGATTAGACAAAGGGGAATGAAGGGAAGGGAGTGATGGGAATAGAAAAGATAGTAGAATGAGTTAGATATAACTTTCCTATGTTCATATATGAATACAAGACTGGTGTAACTCCACGTCATGTTCAACCAAAAGAATGAGAGCCTAATTAGAATAAGCTGTACTCCATATATGTATAAACATGTCAAAATACATTCTATTGTCATATATATCTAAAAAGAACAAAAGGAATTTTTAAAAGTTCAGCTTTTAGAGTTGCAGCAGAGAAGCTGGCCCCCTTGCCAGTGTCTCTTTGAGCTACATCCTGAGCAGCAGCCTCCAGTCTGCTCTGAGGGTCTCTTGACAGGGAATCATTTCCACTTACAAGAAGTGATTACCTGCTATGTGATCCTGAGAAGGTACAGAAGGACCTGGAAGAGAAAAAGAGGAGAAAATAATGACATCTGGGGGAAAATGTTTATTCTCATCTACAAGTTAGAGAAGCAGAAAGGCTTTTCCTGGAAATGTCAAGGACTTTAGTGTAAATCAAGAAGAGTTGGTGGTGCAAGTGAATGTCCTCGGGGGCCTGTGGCCAGCGAGAGCAGGTCACACTTTCTTGGTCAGGTCACATGCTTCGTGTCAAGAGATGGGGTCTAGTTTCCCTTCCTCGAACTGCCTGGGCTCTGGGACTGCTTTGACCAACAGATCATGGCAGAAGGGGTGGTGATGTGCCTTTAAGGGACTGGCGGCTTCTATTTCCTGTCTCAGAACACTGGCTTGCTCCTGTGGCCCTACACCATCTTTTTGTTTTTGGCACTGGGGATTGAATCTAGGAGTGCTTAACTACTGAGCCACATTTCCAGCCCGTGTGTGTGTGTGTGTGTGTGTGTATACTTTTTTTTTTTTTTTTTAAGAGATGGGGTCTCTGAGTTGCTCAAGGCCTCACTAAGTTGCTGAGGCTGGCTTTGAACTCGAGATCCTCCTGCCTCAGCCTCCTGAGCTGCTGGGATTACAAGCACTGTGCTACTGGATCCAGCATGACACCAACTTTTAAGACCTCTGACTGCCCTGCAGGAGGGACCCTGTTAGGAGCCCCTGAGACCACGTGGACAGGAGCCCATCCTTCCAGCAGCCCACATCCAGGCACACCAAGCATGGGAGTCAGCCACCAGAGAACACCATGGAGTGACCCTGCTTGAGCCCAGTGGAGCAGGATCCCCCACTGACCCCAGCCCACATTCCCCGCCCACAAACCCATGACCTGTATCTAAATGGTGGCTGCTTCAGCCTCTAAGCTTTCCGGCAGCAACTGGCAACCAGATGGCTCCTCTCACTTGCCTTGTTCTCCTTTCCCCACTGTCCCCGCAATTTACCTGAACTGAGAAAACTACAGTTTGAATACCCAGGGCTCTCGCCCCTAACCGTGGCCCTCGAGCTTTAGACAGCCCTCCTTCTCACTCACAGCCCCCCACGTAGGGCTGGCCTTCCCCCAGAACACCCAGAGCACATCCAGGGCCCCTCCAGGCAGACGCAGGAGAGAAGCTTCTCCCAGGGCTTGTGGCTTCTCTGCAGCTGGGTGGGTGCATCCAGGTGCATCCAGGTGCATCAAAGGGCAAGGGACGGCCTACAAACACCCAGTGCTGCCTCTTTTCAATCAAGTTATCTTGGGCAGGCTTTGGGATCTCCCTAATCCTTTCATTTTAAGAATAAATAAAGTAATTTATCTGGAAACCCTTGCACCACACCTGTGTTGAACAGGTGCTTGGAAGTATTGTCACAATGAAAGGAAACACCAGTGTCACATCGGAATTCACTGAGCGTGTGTTGGTCTGCTGTTTTCTAATTTCTGGTTTTATCACAGATGGATATCATTCAATCATTAAGTCATAAGAGCTGTGCAAGCAGGAAAAAGTCATGCGATCCCCAAGAGCTTCAACTTTAGGGTCAGATTGGTCAGTGTCAAAATGTGGTTCTACCATTAACTTGCTGAGTGATCTTGAGAAAGTTACTCAACCTTTCTGTGTCTCACATTTCTCATTTGTAAAATAACATATAGTTCCTTTTTGCAGGAGTGCTTTGCTGATTAGCAATAATCTGATCAAAACATCCCCTATCTTGGCTCTAGTTTTGCCTGGTTTTTGTGTATCCAGGGCCAATGCATGGTATGGAGACTAAGATGGGTGGTCAAGGGCACTGATTACCCACAGGCCTGCCCTGTGAACCTTGCTAATTTACTATGTCTCAGTTTATATTTTTTATATTGAAAGTGTAAATAATTGAAGTACCTACCTCAAGGGGTTACTTGGAGCATGATATGAGTTACAGATAATCCCTGAATTATGAAGTTTCAACTTACAGTTTTTAGACTTTCCAGAAGTGTGAAAACAGTACTCACTCAGTAGAGACTGTGCTTCAGACTGTGAATTTTGATCTTTCCCCAGGCTAGCAGTCACCAGTGGGTACCGCCCTCTGCAGCAAGCTGCACTCCTAGTCCACCAGGCATCAGGGGAGTGCTCAGCCCTGTAGCTAAGCTCTGAGCTTGGGCAGGTTAGGCTAGGAAGTGCCTCCTTCGACTTAGGATGTTTTCCAACTTGCAACGAGTTTATCGGGACCTAACCGCATCGTAAGTGGAGGAGCGTCTGTCTGTATGTGAAGGGCTCAGAACAACGCCTGGCCCTTAAGTATTTGCTGCTTTTATTATTATTGGTGTTATTATTATTATTGGAAAGTTGCCTGAATCAGGAAAAAATATGGACATACCTGGAGGTGTGGGCGGAGGCAGGTCTGCTGAATCTGCTGCACAAAGAAAGGTAATAGGTCACCCTCTTGAATGAGTCCACAGTGTGGAGGAGGTGGGGTGACAAGGGTGTCCTTAGTGGATGGAGGAGGAAGGACCACGGCCTTTCAAGGAATATGAGCCCTGAATACTAGAGCGGTCCCCGGGCACCTTCAGCCCCCATGTGGCAAGGTCTTTGGCCGGAGGACTGGGGCTCAGCAGCTGGGTCAACTCTGCCTCATGGCGGCCAGGCTTGGATTAACTTGGTCACCGTCTTGGGGACAGGGCACTGGAACCTGCACTGCACTGCCCAGGTGGGGCTGCTGTCCACTGTCACCTAAGACCTCCTCTGTGCGACCCTGGAGCCACCCACACAGGGGCATTGTCCAAGCCCAGTGCTGGCCTCAAGTGGTGCTCAAGGAATGGGCAGATGGAGGGATGGAAAATTCCATCCAGGAAGATAGCTTTAGAACGTCTTCAATCACACTACCAGAAGCATTTTCTTGAGAGGGAGAGTGTACCTGAGCAGATGACACTGGCATCCTCGTGGTGGTCACAGTTGTGCTCTGACCAGCCCAAGTGGGCGCACTGGCCCAGGTGGCGCTCCACTCCAGAGCACTGCAGGTTGTCCAAGAAGATGTCTCCTGAGCCTGGGCCAAAGTAGGCCCCGCCAGGGCCAGAAATGGCCTGTCCACACTCCAGCTGACGGCACACGACCTTGGCTTCATTCAGGTCCCACAGGTCATCACACACAGTGCCCCAGGTCCCCTGGTGGAGGATCTCCACGCGTCCTGAGCACCGTCCGGAGCCGCCCACCAGCCGCAGCCCTGGCCATTCCCCTGCAGACAGAAATGTGGTGTGCGAGTCCCCTCAAAGCTCTGCCTGGGGTCCAGCAGCACTAGGCCCAGAGATGGGCTGGGAGGGGCACCCCTAGCCTCAAGCCTGGGGCCTTGTTCCTCACACGTCTCATGGTTTCCTGAGCTGCAGGCCGTGAGGTCTTTATTAAATTTCATCTCATTTCAACAGTATTTCCTGACTGTCTTCCCTGCAAGGTGGTGTGGTGCAGCCATAAACCTGAGGTAGGGTTTCTGCCCTCAAGGATCCCACAGTCCATTTACTAGTGAAGCACAGACCGCAGCACGATGCACTATTCTACCCTGTGACAGGCATCAAGGGAAAGAATGGGGTGCTATGAAGAGTGACAGAGAGGTGGTGGCTGGGAGGCACCTCCTAAAAAGTGAGAAGGCGCCAGTCAGGGGAAGAGCTGGGGAAGGTCCCCCGAGCCAGTGGGACTAGCACGTGTAGAAAGACCAAGAGATGGCTTCACTTCTGCAGCTCTGAAGACAACTCACCTGGACTGTTCAACAGAGATTCTGCAGCATCTGTAGAGAGGAAAGATAAATACATCAGCATTTTGGGGGAATCCTGACTTCAATAACTGAGGATGAAGCTTTAATTATATCCTTCTACATGTTTATTAATGCAACATGAGAAAGTTAGACCCAGTAAATAACATAGTATTAGAAGAAACAGATTCATCTATAGACAAATGTAAGTTTCTGTGTGGCTTTGCTAGTGCTATGGGAAAATGACCAGGTGTGAAAGGTACATTTAGGATAAACTGACAAGCTGTTGCTTTTGTAGCAGATGAGTTTCACTTTTGGGGTCTCTGGGGGCGCCTCAGATTAGATAATCATCTTCTAGAACATTGAAATTTGGGGATAACAGGAGCCCACAAGTCTATAACTAAGTTAGAGGGTGCTCCACACAGTTAGATGCCACAAACAGGTGAACAAACAACACATAGGACAATGCTTTTAAATGTGTGCCTTAGGTTAAAAGTCACAGGGAGTGGGCTGGGCATACAGTGGAGCTTCTGCTCACACGGGCCGCTCCATGGAGCGAGCATTGATTCGAGTTGTGATTGCTGATTCTTTCAAGTCACATCAGGGATTATGGCTGTATTTTGTCCCATTGCAGAGAGGGCTATTAATAGTCACTCCAGAGGTGACTAATTTGCTTCCTACTAAAGGTTCCCAATGAGTAAATACAAGGTTTTAAAAAAAAATTGTCACAAAGAAACTAAAATTGGTTACTTCAGTACACAGATTTCCTCTGTTACAATTGAGTGGGGACATGGCAGGAAGAGGGGTCAAATGTGCAGCCTCTTTGCCAGCCGCTATGCCAGGGCTTTGTCAAAGACATCTCTGTTCCTATTGGCAGTCCTGCAAGAAAGCAACTAATTTTTTTTTAATATTTATTTTTTTTAGTTGTAGTTGGACACAACACTTTTATTTACTTGTTTATTTTTGTATGTGGTGCTGAGGATCGAACCAGGGTCTCACACGTACCAGGTGAGTACTCTACCGCTGAGCCACAACCCCAGCCCCGAAAGTAACTAATTTTATAGATGAAGAAACAGAGGCTCAGAGGGTTTAAGGGCCACCCAGATACAGTCTGGGTGTTCACACCAGCTCTGAGAGCCAGCTCGGCCTCCCCAGCTCCACTGCCTCCTGTGGCCTCTTTGATTGAGCTCTTTTACAGAAGCCCCTGGAAGGATCCCCACAGCGCACATGCTGTGTACTTTCAGCGAAGCACACTTTCCTTTGCTAATGCTCACCACCAAATGAGAAAATCAAAATGTTTGATTCTGGAGCCTGGTAGTTAAAACATTGTATAATTAGCCAAGTTGGAAGAGGAAGAGCAAAAATCAAATGCGGTGAGTTTTGAGGATCCTGTCTTTCTCCCTGACTACCTCTGAGTGCTGGCAGGTGGCGTGGTCTTGGAACACTCTGGTGCTGGCAGTGCCCATCTGAGAGAGAGAGGTTACCTGAGCAGATGACACTGGCATCTTCATGGTGGCCGCAGTTGTGCTCCAGCCAGCCCGAGTGGGCACACTGGCCCAAGTGACGCTCCACCCCGGCACATTGGAGGTTGTCCAGGAAGATGTCTCCTGAGCCTGGGCCAAAGTGGGCCTTCCCCAGGGCAGACATGGCCTGCCCACACGCCAGCTGGCGGCACACGACCTCGGCTTCATTCAGGTCCCACAGGTCATCGCACACGGTGCCCCAGGCCCCCTGATGGAAGACCTCCACGCGTCCTGAGCAGCGTCCAGAGCCGCCCACCAGCCGCAGCTCTGGCCAGTTCCCTGCAGATGAAGACCCACTGACTGCTGTCCTCTGGGAGTGGGGTGTCCTTCCATTGAGCTCCGCCCCTCACACCAGCGTTAGAGACAGAGAACCTGGGAGCCCACAACTGGAGTTTGATTAGTCATGGGACTGCCAACAACTTTTAGCTTAAAAAAAAAATCCATTAACTATCTATTTTGCCAGAGGTATGTGCCAGTCGGTTTGGGGTAAATGCAGAAAAACATTACAAATAGTTTGCATGAGGATTTGTGATTTTGTGAAGCACTTTCATGTGCGTGTTCACCTTTATAATAACTCCAGGTGACACTACAAGAGTACTGATGCACCTCAGGTATACAATGAGGAAGCTGGACGTTGGAGAATCCGTAAGCAGCAGACCTATACTGAGGTCCCCGCCTCCAGGGTTCACCTTGGTTTCTCTGCCCCTCTATCTGCTGACTCTGGATTGGCTCTGGCACTCCACTCACTCCGGAAAAGCCCATTTGTGGTGCCAACACGAGGCTGACCTTGATCATGACTGGCACCAGGACAAAAAGACCATCCTGCTGGGAGGTATTTGCAAACTGCTCAGGCTTTGAGGACACCGAGCCCCCGCCCCCCAAAACAAGACAAAAAAGAAAGAAAGAAAGAAAGAAAAGGAATCTGCTCATGGTGGGGTGCCAGAGGCAGATCTGAAAGTCTGGAATGGCCCTGCAGCCTGCGCAGAGCCAGCTGGCTCATTTGTAGGTGGATGAACTGTGTGCAGTTGGCTTCGTTTCCCTACATGGAGCAGACACAGAAGCACAGACCAACGCAGACTCCGAGAGGAGGGGACACGGTCAGGGGAGGGGGCGTGCGGGGCTTACCTGGTCTTGCCGTTCCAGACTTGGGTATTGATGTGGGGATGGCTGTGGATACAAGGAGACGCCCTTGAATCAAAAAGGAGGACGGGGGCAAGTCAAGAGGTGACATTCTGAGAGCAGTTATGTGCCCAGCTTCTGGCTGATTCTTTCTCTGCCTTCTGTATGGTAATGACCTTCCAAATCACTCGTTTCTCATGGGTCTTATTTCTAATGTACATTTGGGCCAATTGAAATAATATTCCCTTCTACCCAGTCGCTGAAAATGTACAATACTTCGAGTGGGCCATTCTGTGCTAAAATACCAACATTCACACCCAGTGTCCTTCTGGGGAAAACTGCTGTCCTTCTTGCTTGCTTCTGCTTGGTCAACTTTCCCTCGACATGGAGTATCTAATTAGGTGGTTTCAACGTCTTTGACAGAAACAAGAGACTAGGAAATCAAATAGACAATTATCTTTATATAGGAACCTGATTACTGATAGGCACAACTTGTGAATAGGCAGACATCATGCAGACAGAATCTCTCCACCACCGTAGGTTTATACATGGAATTGGAAAACATGTTTGTAAAAGCCCTGGGAGGGAGGACAAGCAAGAAACACAAACTAGGCCTGTAGATTAGTAACAAAACAAAGAAGGACTCACTGATTAGATGTGGGGTCTGTAACACAGCCTCTGCAAATACAAGAGACATCATCAGGGCTGCTTGATGCCAATCATGGTGATTTTCCCTGATCCACTTTGTGCTGCAGAACATCTCCTCTGCTCTACAGCGTGTTTCCCCAAGAGGTTCCTGAGTCACCCTGGCACTTGCGAGAGCCACTGGAGACTGTTCTGAGCCCCATCTTGGACAAGGTAGACGTGAGGCACTTGCAGTTCTATTGGCTTTGCCTGTTTCCTCTTGGCAGTAAGTAGTGCAGGACCTCAGATAATTATGGAACCCTGGAAACCTTGGTTCCCCCAAATGTAGAAGGGGATGAACCATGGTTTTATGTAAGGGTAACACGTGGCAGCAAATTTGAAATGTGCTGCGTAATTATAATAGACAATAAGCACTAGCTATTACTTTGACTATTTGGATCTTTGTTGTTGTTACTGATTTGTTTTGCTGACTGGACTGGGCTGTGCTTCAGGAGAAACCCTTGGCTTGGCTTCTGCCCGCCTTCCCGCACACCTTGAAAGCCCTGTCCCTGGGTGCTCACTGTTCTCTCTCCTCGCGTGCCTCTCCCCACTTCCCTGCTAGCAGCCTTGCCAGTTTCAAAGCCAAATCCAAAGGAGGCTGGTTCCCTGGTTTTCAACACTACGCATAGCCTCTGCCTGTGCTGCTCTTTCTTGTTCCCAATATCTTTCTCCAAGATGCATGCATGTGTCGATTTAGTATGTTCTAGTACGTTCTCTCTGTTCTACGGGTTTGCCTTGGTCCAGGGTATTCTATCTGTCCAGCTACATCATGTGTATTTGTCTTACTTCCTTGAGGTTGTGTTCAGCTTTCCTTAGGCTAAGATCACATCTTCTGCAGGTCCTAAAATGCCCACCTCAAACCAGATTCAGAGTAATGTCGGAAATGACTTCCCAAGGAGCTGACGGTGGAAACGCACCCAGGACAGAGCAGCCAGCCGCTGCATCCGGGATGTGACGTCGCTCTGCTGAGCGCACTGCGCATCACAACATGCGTAGCTGGCAACAGCCCTCACTCAGGAGTAAGGTCCTCCTGCTTTCCCCACAACAGAGCAGGAGTGCCAAGCCATTTGCCCAAAGTCACAGAGCAAGTGATGGTCCCCAGGCAGTCAGTCCAGAATTGCGGCTCCAGGCCACCATTCTTACCTTTGTTTGCAGAATAATAATAAGCAGTGAAGTGTTTGCCTATGTTGTTGGAGCTTCGGAAGTACACAAGGGTCACCGAGCTGGAGGAGGACGTGTAGGTGAGGTGGGAGCCAGAGCAGCTCCTCCCCAGGGACTTTGCTGAAGCTGGGGGACCGTCCAGGATCTCAACATATTCATTGGCGCAGTCGAGGCTGGGGAGAGAAACAGCCACGGGGTCTCTCAGTCTCCTCCTCAGAAGGTCTGGAAGGTGAGGTATGTGACAAGCTTGTGTGTGGCTACAGAGGCCGGGGACAAGTTCAAAGTCATGTAGAGATGGAATGGGTCTTTTCAGCCTGCTTCTTCTCCCTGGTGCCACTATCTGTAGGGAAGGGAATTGTAGCTGCGAGAGAAGGAGGAGCTGGCTCTAGATTACCCTGCTCAGGGCTGGGACAGCTGAGGCTGCGGGACCTCCCAGCCGGGAAGGGCAGGCCAAGGCTATCCAAGGTCATCCCACCACACAGCCACCTGGGTAGGGAGGGCCCAAGGTGCACAGGCTGCTGGGCTCCATGTGGGCCCGCAGTGGGAGCAGCTCCAGTTCCCAACAACCCATTTACAAACTTCTGGCAGCCAACCTGCTTAGAGGGAAGCAGGCCACAGTTCTACCCAGCTTGCTTTCTGGAGATCATCTGATCTTGTCCAAAGTTGTTCTCTGTGAACTTCTGTCCAACTACCACCAGAGACCATTTCCAGGTCACCACCTGAGAGCCATTGTTCCAAGCCATCCTTCCATTAGGCAAAATCCAGGCGTAATAAGAAATTTACATTGTTCCTAGGGCTTCATTTCCATGGGGCATTCATCTATGAATGACATCAATCTTGCATATTTATGATTTTAAAACCTAAAATTTCCTGACTTAAGAGGTGTACGGTTTTCTTAGACTGCCTCTTTAGCCAGCTGGTTAGGACACATACTCTGTCTTTCTTCTGTCTTTCTGTCTATCCCTACATCCCTTTCTCACACACACACACACATACACACACACACACACAATCTATCCAAAGCTCATAGATGATTTTTATTTTAATTAAAAATTCATGGAAATATACAAAAATCAGTCATATTTCTACATATGAGCAAATGCCTGGAAACCCAAACTGAAAGTGGTGTTGTTTACAATTGCTCCAACAACAACAAGAAAGAAAGATAGAAATGCCTAAATATAATCTAACAAGACACATAAAAGATCTGCCTAAACAAACAAACAACCCCAGCTAACATTAAAAAAATAATACCAGATGCTCCCTAGGATGTGGAGAAACAAGCTCTCAGGTGTTGCTGGTGACATGTGACATGGAAGTTACTCTAGAAAACAGTTTAATATGTTCTCAGAATTTAAACATGTACACACTACACAGTCCAGCAATCACACTCTTGGGCATTAGTTATTTCCTCGAAAAATAACTAATGTTTTCACAAAAACCTGCATGTGAATGTCCATAGAAGCTTTCTGTGTAATACCTAAAGATGGAAACAGCAAAGATGTTCTCCAAGGAAGAGAGGATTAAAGAAACCTGAATGCATCTTCAGGAACTCTTCAGGGAACTGTGCTGAATGGAAAAGCCAACCCCAGTGCTACTGTAGGCTTCCATCATATAACATCCTCAACATGACCTACTGTAGAGGTAACAGATTGTTTTTAGGGGGCAGAAAGAGGGGCAGTTTGTGAATGCAAAGGGTGAAAGGATGGTTCCCTTGTGGTAACAGAGCAGTTTTATATCTGGAATATGGTGCTAGTTATGTGACATGGGATAAAAATGCATGCAACTACACACACACACAGACACACACACACACACACAAGTACATGTAAGATTAGTGGGAATTGAATGAGATCTGTAGTCCAGCACACAGTATCACAACCAACGCCAACTTCCTGGCTTCAACATTGTTCTACAGTTGTGCACGTGACGCCACCATTGGTGGAAGTTTGGTGAGGGGTCTGCCGGACTCAGCATTACTTTCCTATGCATCTGTGGCTATTTCAAAAGAAAAAAAAAATGCACAAAGGACACTTTTGCTTAAAATATCCATTAAGGAAAAAAAGTAATTGGGATTTTTAAACTGCACAGTGAACTGAGGTAATGCACTTGGCACTCACTCGAGACACGGAAATGCCAGCCATATACGGTGAGACGTGTTTGCCGTGATCTCCCACATGCAGGTTATGTTGTCGTGCATTTCATACTTTGGAGGATTTCTAATGCTTCCAGATGAGTGACTAACAATGCCACCACACTGAGAATTTTCTAAATAAAGAGAGAGATTTTAGAATTTCAGTTTATTTCATTGTTCAGTCAAGAAATTTTCTAATTCACACTCTCCCACACACTTTCCCAAAAATCTTTCATGGGTTATCATTTTGTGGTGTCTTAGGATAGAGTAGAGGTATAAACCAGTCTAAAAGGTATTGCAAACTTGGGAAACTAGAGCATGAATGTGTCTGAAGCTAGAAACATCTTTTCTCTCTTTTGGGAATCCTACCATGGACATGGCCTTGCTGGAAAGAGCTGGTGCCCTACATTGGCCCAACCCTTCCCCTTGGTTACTCCCTAGTCATGGGCTATAACTTTGAATTTTGTCAGCCCACCTGTGGTTATGAGTAAAGTTCTCCTTCAGTTTGGTCAGTTAAGGCCAAGGCAATGTAGACTCTCGGTGGATACGATGATGGCAGGACCCCATTACTGTCAGCCGTAATTTCTTAAAATTACATTCTTAAAATCTATTATTTAATAAAAGAAGTTGCCCTGAGCTATCCACCCCTGCAATAGCCCTAATGCCGATATCATTTTCTGTCCCCCTGTCCACCCATCTGTTTGGTTCTTCGTCTGCTTGTCTTATTTATCTGGCCATCCAACATTCAGTTCAAAATTAAAGGTGACACGGTGACAATGGAAACAGCTGGCTTTTCTCCTTCAGATTATCTGGACCTACACTCAGTTGGCCCTGGTCATCTAATTGTGGCTCTTCTCTAGAAGGACCACCCACTTCTCCAACATTAGTATTTTAACTCTTTATCCCCAAGTAGTGCTAAGTACAGTGGAGCTTCTGGAACCCAAAGCACAGGCAAAACGGGGCGGGGGGAAATGGCAGATGAGAAAGAAAGTGTAGAAAAGGAGGACAGAGAATTTTCAGAGAAAGGGAAAGCGTGGAGGAGAAAACTGCCCATTATGGTGGACACGCTCTAAAAGCATGGCCCTGGGCAGCACCCTGGTGGCATCACTATGGTAACAGCTGCAGGTTTTCCCTCCATTCATGGCGGGCTTGCTGGAAGGCCGGCCATCAGGGCTGGCATCACTTGGTTGTTTGGATTTCCTTCTTTGACTGACGAGAAATGGAGTGAACCCTCATTCCACTGGCCATTGTTATTAGGTTCTTCTCTTGGAAGATAGTATCTGGGCACATTTTCCTTGAAGAATCATTTCAAAGATTGAGCTATAAGACATTGAACAGGGCTCCAGGGACACACGTTCTCACCTGTAGCCACTGTCTCTGCCAGCGTAGTCAACTGGTGACCTGTGAAACACAAAAAGGACACGTGAACCAGCATCTGGAACTGATATCCACACACTGTCTGCACATGAAAATCCTGAGGAGCTTTTAACACACCTACTGTCTCCGCTCCTCCCAGAACCACTGAACGAGTCTCTGGGGGAGGCCTGAGTGTGCACCTTTAATGTGCAAGAGGTAAGAGGCACTGATCTGAATTCTTCCCAGACTTTGATGCATATTCTTTCCTCAAACGTGAAAATGAGATGTTTTATAATAAGAGGATTTAGGAAAACTAAAGACTTGAAATACTGGCCCCTAGGCCTCTTCTGGTGACCCAAAGGCTGGGAGTTATGAGCTTATGCTGTGGGAACAGGAAGGAGCACAGAGGCAGATGCCTTGACCCAGTGCTTCTCAGAGGTGCTGAGTCAGGACCCAAAGAAAGTGTGGGCTCTCCTCCAGGTCCCCAATATCTCCCCACCAGAAACACTCAGCTCAGCACCTCCCTGGATTCTCTTCCTGGATCACTTTATTTCCGTCTGGTAGAGTTGACTACACAGGAGGGGTGTGAATGCTTACCAGACCTTATCAAACCATGTTCATTCATAACTCTGACTGAGAGGTGACTGCCAGTAGAAGAACCCTGGTGAGGAATAGAGAATGGGCATGGGAATCTAGGTGTCGAGGCCGAGAGTGTGTGGGGAGCCAACAGCAGGGGCTCTGGGGGTGGGGGGCAGAGATGCACCAGGAACAAGGCAGAGGCAAGAGGGGTGGAACTGAGATTGGCTCAGCTTGGCTTTCTCCAGATCTGTCCCAGTGGCCATTCATCCCTGGGCAGGAAGCACCCTCACCATCACCTGTATCCTCACCACCTCCCACCCAATCATAGCTCATTGCACCTATGTAAAACCTCAGAACAGAAGCACCCACAGTGCTCTTCAGAAGTCGGAGATATTGAGAAATCCACCTCCTGTATGTGAAATTCATGGTGAGTAAATAGAGAGGTAGCCAGTGAGGCGCCGCTAGGTGACTGCTGAGGTATATCCACCTCTCCCCTGGACATCTCTCAACCCCCTCCACAGGCTTAGAGGACAAGACATCCAATTTCCAGCAGAACCTGTTCTCCAAGGTGCTGATGAGCTGCCCACTTGAACAGCACCCTCCTTACCTGGTGGTGAGACAGTTGACTGTTCAGCACCTGTAGGCAGGGGAGAGGACGACATCTGCCGTGAGTGAATGACACGGATTCAAGTCCAACTGTATAAAGCACACTCTTGGAAAGAGCTAGTCTGGGCCCCATCTGGAGGGGCACAGGGGTTACCTGAACAGATCACGCTGGCATCTTCCTGGTGACCACAGTTGTGGGAGAACCAGCCGGCATGGGAACATTCCCCAAGGTGCCGCTCGTGTCCTCCGCAGTGCACATCGTCAAGGAGGATCTTCCCAGAACCTTCCCCAAAGTGGGCCTCACCCGGGGCTGAAATGGCCCGGCCACACTCGAGCTGCCTGCAGACGATGTTTGCTTCTGAAAGGTCCCAGAGGTCATCGCACACTGTCCCCCAGACTCCTTGATAGAAAACCTCCACACGGCCGGCACACCTCTCAGGGGTGCCTACCAGCCACACAGGTGCCCAGCCTCCTGGGGAAGGACAAAGGCTCAAGTAGTGAGAGCTGCCCCCGGCTCACTGGTGACAGGACTATTGTCTACATGACAGACTCTCGGTCCTAATCTTCTTTGGGCTGCTCTGAGTGAGTCCATGCCACTCACCAGACATGTGGGCTCCAGCCTGTGACATCCCTTATCTGCACCCTACTTTAGGACCGCTTGCCTGTGGGGATTATTTCTAGAAGTGGGTCCAGTTCTTCTCTTCCCTATATCCTCACTCTTTACAATGTGCCGCGTGACCTCTCCCATTTGGAATTTGGGCTCTTTCTTCACTCCTTGACACTGGGCTGGGGGCCTTTGGCTCCCCTTGGCCAAGGGAGCATTGTGCTTTGAGGGCATGAGAGGCCTCCCAGGCTGCAGCTCACCCTCTGGGCACTCGGGAGCATCATGTGAATAAGCTTGAGCTGAGTGATGAAGGACATGCAAGTTTGTCACCTCTGTCACTTCAGGTGACAACTATAGAATTCCCAGACATGTGAGGGAGGCCATCCTGGGACAGATAGTCTTTGACCACAGATGCATGAGCAAATCCAGCCAAGTTCATCTGAACCTATCCTGAATCCACAGACTGCCCAGCTGACTACTTGTGAGTAGTTATCAATGGAGGTTGTTTTAAGCCACAGCGTTCTGGGATGGTTTCATGTGGCAATAGATAACTTACATACATCTTTGTCCATATTCTCTTTTTAGATAACCTGCTCCTTCCATAGTCAGGATGAGACATAGGGCCAAAGCCATAATCCCCAGGGGAAGTCTACCTGATCTGATGTGGAGTGCACATCTGACCCCAGGGAAACCAGTCCAGGTGCTGGACTGTGCAGGGTCTCTCTGCTGGGTATCTGGAATTGGGAAGAGAGCTGGAGGACTCGGGGGGATGACGCTTCCGTTGGGGGCAACCATGATAGTCATACATGAGCAGATAAGTGAACAGATAAACTGCTCAAAATGACTCACGAGGGGGACAGAGGAAGAAGGGAGGTCCCGAGAGTGGGGGGATGACTCTATGGTTTGTATCCCCTGGGCTGGGCTCTCCAAGACCCATCTATGTCCCACCATATACTCCCTTCAATTAATCTTTCCTGAATGGGGATTTGTACCATGAAACCAAATGCTCATCCATTAGCAAATGCCCCCCTATTTCCATTTACTGGGCTTAAGGTACCCATTCCTGCCCACTGAAATCCCCCCGTCCTTCAGATTCCATCCCCAGTGGCTCCATTTGATGAGGTCTGTGATCACCCAGACCAGGACTGACATTTTTGATTCTCAGCCACTTGCTGTGGTTCTCCTGGGACCATCATGTGTAGAGCCAACAATGCACACGTGTTCTCTCCCTGAGCAGGTGATAACCGGGAGGTTGAGTGGACAGAGACGTGGATGTCGGGTCAGGGTGAATGGGTCTGAAGCCCAGCATCCCTGACTAGCTCTGTGGCCTTGAGGAGAAGGGGAATCACAAGCTGTCATGAGGCGGAAGAGAGGAAGCGCACTTGGAAGAGGGCTTGTCAAGGCGTGTTCTTGCTTGGTAGGTGGCTGGGGATGCCGAGAGGGGTCCAGATCTCACATGTCTGGGGTGAGATGGGTGTGAAAACAGTGGGTGTGGTCATGAGTGTTGTAGAAGTGTGTGCAGAAAGCACTCCCCAGGGGTCACAGAACAGCACCAGCCATGCTCTGAGGATGCAGGGGGAGCATGGCAGGGCCTCTCACAGACCACCTCCCTCCACATGCTAGTTGAGCTATAGTTTTCTGTGTACAAGACTTGTCTCCTTACTAAACGACATGGTCCCTGAGAACAGGGACTGTGGGAGTCATTCACACATTATCCAATGCAGGACCTGGTTCAGTGCATGGTGGGCACGCAGGGTGGAAAGTCAATAAACGAATGGGGCGGGGGAAGATGGAATGTGAATTCAAAGACTTGAAAGTCACAAAACCATCAATGGCGCCGTTGCCATCTTCTCAAGGCCATGATCAGTAGGCCTGCTGGGCAGTATCTCACCCAGAATACTTTCAGTCCAGGATAGTGGTGGTGGCTCTTCTCAGTCCTCCCAAATCTTTTGGCAGTACCAACAGATCAAGGGAGTAATCAGGTTGAATATTTCACTCCTGTCTTATCTAGCCTCAGGCTGGACCTAGCTTATAAAAATCCAAGGCCCAACTTAATCTGAATTCCCCTAAATATTACTTATCCCTGACCACATTAAAAACAAACAAAAACATCTCAGAGGGCCTGAGCCTCCTCCCTTGTCAGTGACTGTGTGGTTATTGGCTGCTCTAAGTCCTGTTCTGGAAAGTAGCCGTCTCCTGCTCCATGGCCCATGGAGACTCCGTCTGGGACTTTCCTGTATGGTACAGTCCCACTGCCCTCTCACCCTCCAGGCCCTGCATGAGGTACTGTGTCCTGCCTGACCCTCAGGTCTGGATGGTGACCCTCTTCCAGGCACCCCAACACCCCATCACAGTGTTCACTACTCCACGGTACCACCCCACCCACTCAGCCCACACCAGGGCCTCCTTCATTCAATGCTCTACAGGTCCCCAGTGACATGCGTTCACTTCATTGTCAAAGGAGCAGAGTTGTCCAAAAGCTGTAACACAGAATGACACAGCCCTACCTGCCAGTGCAGAGGAAGGTGGGTGCTGAGTTGCTGGCATCACTGAAGACGTGGGCAGCAGGTTCTCATGGGCTAGGGATGGGGAAGGAAGGACAGTCGTCAGAGCAGAGTTGCATCATGGGAGAAGAGACAGTTTCTCCAAGGGGGTGCCTGCCTCCTGCCAGGACTCAGTAGGAAAAAAGATGCCACAGGGTTCCAAGGCCAGGGACCTCATAGCCCCAAGGTCTCTCCTGAGAGTAGGCCAGGGCACTGCTGCTTGTTGGCCACACGGCTGCGGAGAAAGCAAAACTCATGGGGAACTGTTCCCACGTGACCTGCGGTAGGAGAGGCCATCATCTGTCCACCGTCTCCCTTTGCTGCCCTCTGCCCACGTCTGCTGCCCTCTGACCTCCCCTGAAGGAGGCAAGGATGGTCAGTCACACAGCAGATCTGTCAGGGAAGGGGGTCAGCTCTGAAATGGCACCTGGAAATCTTACTGAGTGTCTTTACCATGGAGGTCACACACCATCACCACAATCCACCGTGAGGAAGCCCTGTGTCCCATGGAGAGAGGCAGCTTGGGACTGATTGGGTGCAACCTGTGGAGCCAGTGGTTTGCAGAGAAGCTACTGCAGGAGCAAGTGGGAGAGAACCAGGAAAGACTGGGAAGCGCAGTGAGGTAGAGAGCCAGCTAGAGGGACAGATGGCCTTGGGAAGGTCAGTAGGCTCAGAATGGGGAGGGCCTTGGGCATCAGCTGACAAATTTGGCCTGTCACCCAGAGGTCACAAACTGTAAAGTCTGTGGGCCCATACAGGTAAGTATGAGGTCCGAGTAAAGGGACCAGGTGAATGGAGAGTTGTTCTGGGTCCAGAGGGGCAGCCTCTCGGATCTGGCCAGTTGGTATAATAAAAGAACTTGCTATTTTGTACCTTCGCTATTTTCATTTCTTTCACTAGATTAAGAATTTTTACTGTTGTTGTGATGAATGTTGTGATTTTTAGATTCAAGTTTAGCCTGAATTTTCAAACTAGATAGCCCACTACTGGGCCTGGATCAGTCTGCGAGCTATACTTGGCCCTCTGGGCAGTCAAGGGGCTGGTTAGGCTGATGCCAAACATGGAGGAAACATAGGCAGCTTTGGTGACCTACCTAGATCTGCTGTGTTCCTGGACTGAACTGTGGCGTGTGTGTGTCTGTGTGTGTGTGTGTGTTGCGGGGTGAGTGTGTGTGTGCATGTGTGTGTGGGGGGGTGCAGGAGGGGAGGACTGGAGGGGGAGCTAGGAGTCCCCTCCAATGCTGACAGCCAGCCCCTCACCTGCACCCTCCAGGTGCCCACAGTTGTGCCCACCCTGGCCCCTGTGCCATGCTGCCCCAGGTGGCTCTTGCTGCCACATCCTGCATGCCATCCTGCTGGGTCTTCCCAGAGTCTGCCCCAAAGTGGGCCCCCGTGGGAGCTGCCCCCACCTGGCCACACTGCAGCTGGCGGCACATGACAGTGGCCTCAACCAGGTCCTAGAGGTCACCACACACTGTCCCCCACATGCCCTGAATGAGGCTTCCATGCAGCCTGAGCCCCTCCCTGTGGCACTCGGAGCCTCACCTCTGTCCAGGCTCCTGGAGCAGGGAGCACAAAGAGGAGGGACACTGTGTGACATGCCTCCAGTCTCTAGAAGGTTTTTTTCCCTTTAAATCCCCAGGTGGCCATGTCCTCCTTTCACATACATGTAAGATCCCATAGTTCTCATGCACCCACACACGAGCAATAGCCAGAATCATCTCCAACTTCATGTGAAAATTGGGCTTTGCTACTTCCTCTCTTCCAAAAGATGAACGCCTCTTTAAGGAACTTCTAAAACTCCTAACAGGAATATGTCATTCTTATATGATTCCCCAGCTGTGGACGGGAATAGACATGAGAGATGTCAAAATATCCAGTGAAATATCACCTAGCAGGTCACATAGACACCTCCTCAGCCACAACTACTTTGTCCTGGAGCAAAGAGGCCCCTTTGTCTCATAAAAATCTTTTTGTGTGGCTATATTGTGGCATTTGTTGTTTGTGAGTGAAAAGCAGGAGCTCCCAAGAACCACTAACTTACATGTTTCTCTCTTAATTTTTACAACAGGCGTGGGCTTTCCATTTTGCAGACAAAGAAACTGAGACTTGACAGGGCTAAGAAATTTGCCCTAAATCCCACAGCTTATGAGCGGGTTGTTTTCCACTTGTGGGTCCCCCTCTCTCAACGCCATCCATCAGCCCTTCATTTCTCAGGACCTACTTCCCAGCCCGGCAGGTGGAGGAGTTGAAGCCTCGGGGGGCTGTGGTCACTGACGGCCCTGAGAGGAGGTCAAGAAAAAGCCACAGCTCACGTAAACTACTGTCAGTTGCATGCAGAGAATTAAGTGAACACTGCAGAAAGGGCTCAACCTAAGACCCAATCCCGTCTCCAACTTGTGGCTTTGTCTTCTTTTGACTCATCTAAGTCAGTCATTATCGCCCCCACTAAACAAGATTAACTTTTTGTTCACCCATTATGTGTTCATGGTCAGCTTTGAAAAATACAAGATGAATCTAAAGATCTCACACTTACAAAACCCAAGAGAATCAAAGAGGTCTCAGTAATGCCGTGGGCCATCATTGACTGAAGGCAAGACGGAGAGCCTTCACTGAAGAGGCCATAACTCCTCTCGTCAGAAGCTAGAACAGGCGTCAAAGGCCTGTAATGTCAGGTGGATTTCGAGGCGGGTCAGTGAGAAGGGTCCAAACGCAGAGGATGAGTGTCCTTACGGAGACCAGAGCAAGAAGCCACACGCATAAATGGGCACGGAGGCCATGGAAGGGAAAGAAAGGCCTCCCTGCAGGCAGCTGGGAGTCACAGGTCAGCCACCAATTTTGGATACTAAGAAACTAAGGGTGTATGCACTTAATATGACTAGAACACCTTGGTGGCCTAGGCATTAACTCCAAACACCTGGATTCCAGCATTTTTTTTCTTACATCATGCAGAAGACTTCCAGAGACATGACCCAGGAAGACAATGGAGTTTTGGGTCACCTGTCTTCACAAGCATGGCATCCTGTGAGTGACTGTTAGTGGGGACTTCTCAGGGCTGATTGTATGTTAGAGACTCCTTGACATCTGGGAGGAAAGAAGCCCATTTCCTGTGTGAATGCAGTGTTTCCTACACTCACAAGGACCTGAGAACCCATGTGTGTGAGTGAGGGTGAGTGTGTGTGGGTGTGTGCACCACTGACCTGAACTCCCTGCTGAGCTGGAGTTACTAGAAGCACATTTCTCAGAAACACCTTTATTTCACTATCTCAGGAACTTGGCAAGGAATATTTCTAGAAAAACACAGTCTCTTATAGTTCTTAATAAATACACAGGATATAAGATTCAATGTAAACCCCAAAGACGCATTTTTAATGTACCTGTTGGTGTTGGCTCCTCCACAGAAGTGATGGATTCGATTGTTATGTCCACAGCTACCGAGAGCAGAGAACACCAATCAGTAATGAAGAGCACCCAGGGACAGGCCGAGGCTAAGCAAAGGGAAGGCAGCTGGATGCCCCAGGCCAGCGTCATGGTTTCCTTGTGGAAATCTAACATGAGAAACTGGTTCTAAGGGGCCTACCGAGCTTCAAGTCCAAAGATACGACTTTCAACCTGAGGTCTAAGTCCTATTCTATCTCATACTATAGACAGACTTCAGTTTCCTGATCTGTAAAACTGGGGATCAGATGAGCTAATGGATAGGAAAGAGGTTCATACATCAAAAATTAATATCCCTAATTCAAGAAATACTTTTGGAAAAAATATTTTTGGAAAAAGTATCCCTCCCCCCCCCTTTTTTTTTTTTTTTTGGTTTCAGGGATTGAACCCAGGGGAGCTTAACCACAGAGCCACATTCCCAGCCCTTTTTATGTTTTATTTTGAGACAGGATCTTGCTAACTTGCTTAGAGCCTCCCTAAATTGCTGAGGCTGCCCTCCAACTTGTGATCCTCCTGCCTCGACCTCCCAACAGCTGGGATTACAGGTGGGTGCCATCATGCCTGGCAACTTTTTTTTTTTTTTAAGGATAAAAGATTTGGTCACTTCAGCAAAGAGATAAGAATAGGCAAATGAAAAAATCCTCCATATCACTAATCTTTAGAGAAATACAACCAAAAATCACAAAAGTGTATCACTATTAGCTCATTATAGTAGAGATACCATAATAGCCCAGCTTAAAAAACAGATAATCCTAAATGTTGACAAGAATGTAGAGAAAATGTAACTTTCTTATGTTGCTATTGGAAGTACAAAATGGCACTGCTACTTTGGAAAACAGCTTGCAGGCTGTACATCAATATTTATGATAGCTGTATTTGTAATAGTAAACATTAGAAATAATTTCAATGTCCATCAGATAAAGCATGGAGAAACAAATTTTGATATATCCATAGTTAGCAATAAAAAAAGAAAAGAACAAATGTCTGATAGGTGGAATTACATGGATGACTCTCATAAGCATTAGGCCAAATAAAAATATCCCAGTGCAGGGCTGGGGTTGTGGCTCAGTGGGAGAGCATTAGCATGTGTGAGGCACTGAGTTGGATTCTCAGCACCACATATAAATAAATAAACTAAAGGTCCATTGACAACTAAAAAAAAAGAAAGAAAGAAAAAAAAAGTCCCCGCACAGAATGCTCTGGGGGTGTTAGGCACGATTCCAGGAAAGGCAAACCTAGAGAGCCAGACACCATACTGGTGTTGACAGGGTTGGGGCTTAGGCGACATTTAACTACAAAGGAGCAAAGGGAACTCTATAAGGCAGTGGAAGGGCTCTGTGTCCTGATGGGGGCAACAGCTTCACAGTTGTAACCGTTACGATGCTTTGAACTACACGGTAGTTTTTACTGTAGGTAAATTGTACTTCAATAAGCCTGACTTTCAATTAAAAATTAACTCTGCACATAAACAAAGGCTTAGAACATTGGGGACACACAGGCACAGAAACCAGGTAGACATCTGTGGTCACTCAGAAAGAAAGGGGAGATGAAAGCCTGGGTCAGGTGGGTGACTGTCAGGGGAAGAGGAGGCCAGGAAGGCGCCCCTGGGTCCCCAGCTATAAATGGAGAATAAATTCCTCCACAGAGACCTATTTGAATAGGACTAGATATCCAGAGGGTTGAAGGTATTTTATTTTTAAAAAATATTTTTTAGTGTTGATGGACCTTTATTTTATTCATTTATTTATGTGTGGTGCTGAGAATTGAACCCAGTGCTTCACACATGTGAGGCAAGCATTCTGCCACTGAGCCACAACCCCAGCCCCTGAAGATATTTTAATAATTTACTTAAATATCCCTGCTTGGACGTGAAGCTCTGTATATAAATAATAAACATGTAAACAATTAAAACATAATAAGTTCATGTATGTAAAACACATAAACTGAAGACAACTAGGGAAGCAACTCACAAAATGTGACTTACTCTGGAGACTGGAGTTTGATGATAACGGAGCTGGTGAAGGTGCTGGTGATGGTGACGAGGACAGCGACGGCATCGAAGATGGACGTGAAGACGAGGCTGGTGACCGCAGCGGTGAGGACAACGATGGTGAAGCTGAGGACGATGATGGTGAAGATGAGGAGGAAGGTGATGATGAAGGTGAAGACCAGGACAATGACCGTGGCGATGAGGACAATGATAATGAAGACAAGGAGGGCAACGATAAAGGTGAAGACCAGGACGATGACCGTGGCGGTGAGGACACCAGTAGTGAAGATGAGGAGGGCGAGGATGAAGGTGAAGATGAGGATGATGTCCGTGGTGGTGAGGACAGTGATGGTGAAGATGAGGAGGAGGGTGAGGATGAAGGGGAAGCTGAGGATGATGATCGTGGCAGTGAGGACAATGATCGTGAAGCTGAGGACGATGACTGTGGTGGTGAGGACCGTGATGGTGAAGATGAGGAGGAGGGCGGTGATGAAGGTAAAGACCAGGATGATGACCGTAGCAGTGAGGACAGTGATGGTGAAGATGAGGAGGAGGGTAAGGATGAAGGTAAAGACCAGGATGATGACCGTAGCAGTGAGGACACCAGTAGTGAAGATGAGGAGGGCGAGGATGAAGGTGAAGACAAGGATGATGTCCGTGGTGGTGAGGACAGTGATGGTGCAGACGAGGACGATGACCGTAGCAGTGAGGACAGCGATGGTGACGCTGAGGACCATGACCGTGGCGATGAGGACAATGATAATGAAGACAAGGAGGGCAACGATAAAGGTGAAGACCAGGACGATGACTGTGGCGGTGAGGACACCAGTAGTGAAGATGAGGAGGGCGAGGATGAAGGTGAAGATGAGGATGATGACTGTGGTGGTGAGGACAGTGATGGTGAAGATGAGGAGGAGGGTGAGGATGAAGGGGAAGCTGAGGATGATGATCGTGGCAGTGAGGACAATGATCGTGAAGCTGAGGACGATGACTGTGGTGGTGAGGACAGCGATGGTGAAGATGAGGAGGAGGGCGGTGATGAAGGTGAAGACAAGGATGATGACTGTGGCAGTGAGGACAGTGATGGTGAAGATGAGGAGGAGGGTGAGGATGAAGGTGAAGACGAGGATGATGTCCGTGGTGGTGAAGACAGTGATGGTGCAGACGAGGACGATGACCGTAGCAGTGAGGACAGCGATGGTGAAGCTGAGGACGATGACTGTGGTGGTGAGGACCGTGATGGTGAAGATGAGGAGGAGGGCGGTGATGAAGACGACGACTGTGCTAATTCTGCATCTATTTATTACGATAAAAATGTTCCTCTTAAATCGTGCTTTATGACAGCGATTCTCAGAGTGGTCCCTGGACCACCCCATAAGCATCTTAGACTTGTCAGAAGTGCAAATTCCCGTACCCCATCCTAGAAGGACTGACTCCAACCCCTGAGGGGTGGGCCCAGCAGTCTGTTTCAATAAACCCGTAGGTAATTTTGGTGCAAAACACAGGTTCAAAACACTGCTGCAGGATACGAAAGAAGGGCTGAAATGGACCCATGGTATTCCCGAGGGGCAGAGCTCCTCTGCAGTCACACGTCTGAACTCTTCAACTGCTGCCATTCCTTTGTCAGTTAGGAAGGGTCAGCTTCTACAGGCACCAGAGGGATGGCTTTCTGACCTAGCCACTCCGGAAAATAGATGGCGACCTTCCCTCAAGTAGGTGCTTAGTGACGGGTGATGGGCTTAGTCACCACAGAGTGTACCCTGAGCGAGGACTCTCAGTCGCAGTCCTTGAATGACCACAGGCCAGTCTTGCTGGCAGCTGCCTGATGACCACATTCTGCTTGGGGAAGGTTCTGTGCCTGGGGACTGGGCACTGAGAGCTAGAGTCCCCCACTTCCTCTTCACTGATGTCCCCTTCAGTGTGGAGCTTTCTGAGGAGCCTCACCCCAATTATGACCAGGATCTACCCGGGGCAGCTGCCCAGGAGGGGCATTCAGGCCAGGATTAGCAGGTATCTTGAGAAGGAGGCCCCACAGACAGCAAGCTCCGTGCTGAGCTGGGTTCTGAGTCTACCTGTTGGGGAGTCACCTCTAGGCTTCAGGTGGGGGTGGACCACCCATCATCTCTGCAACCGCTTAAAGCTCCACCCCACGGGCTCATTTCCCCCCGTTTCCACCACACAGATACTCAGTGCTAAACAGATGTGGGACGGGACCCAGGGGAAAGTCTGCCCTGGAGGGAGGGGCCTGCCCTTTGGTCTAGACCTGTTAGTGTGGGGAGAGGGGAGGGGTCTTCCCAGAAAAAGCCACGAACCTGTTCTGCCCACGAACTATTTAGAAGGAAGAAGTCCTCACCAGAGCAGATGGCCCCGGCGTCCTTCTCATGGCCACAGTCGTGCGTGAACCAGCTGTTGTGGGTACACAGGGCCAGGCGGCTCTCCGTGCCAATGCAGCGCACATTGTCCAGCAGGATCTTTCCAAAGCCTGGGCCAAAATGGGAGCCGAGAGGGGCAGATACGGCCTGGCCGCACCCAAGCTGTCTGCACACCACCTGCGCTTCCGGCAAGCCCCAGCCTTCGTCACAGACCGTCCCCCAGGTGCCCTGGTAGGAAACCTCTACCCGTCCAGAGCATCTTCCTGTGCCGTTAACCAGCCTCAGCTTAGGCCAGTCTTCTGTGGAGACGAAAATAAGAGTAAGTGTTGGAAACTTACCTTTTGAACTCACCTTGTTTGCTTGGCTTACAAATCAAGTCGAGCCCTTCAGTCATCCTAGGTGTGCAGGCCACGGCTGGACAGAAGATTTGACAATCACGCCACAACACAAGGTGCTATCAGTCACTAAACAAAGCAGATCAAGTGGCAGACAGCATCTTCTCCTGCATGGGGCTTCGCAACTTGACGTCAGCCGGGGGGGGACAGGAAAATTTAGGAAAATGTTTTTTCTCTTCAATGAATTAAATTAAATGGTATATTCCAAAAAAATGAAATATTCTGGAGCAGTCAAGAGCAGTCTCTCTCTCTCTCTCTCTCTCTCTCTCTCTCTCTCTCTCTCTCTCTCACACACACACACACACACACACACACCACAAACAACAAAAGGATTCACCTAAAAAATATAATGCATGATATAGAGAGACTAATATAATTTGTGTGAAAGAAAAAACACAAAATAACATATATGGAAAGCATTAATTCATATTTGTGAGATTTTAAAAAGAAGGATCTATGCAAAATGCAAGACAGCATTTGTCTATGAGGAAGGAGAGAGGAGAGGCAGATTGCAGATATTGAGAGTTCCATATTTTTTTAAATTGTTTTATTTGTTCCAATTAGTCATACATGACAACAGAATGCATTTTGACACATCATACATAAATGAAGTAGAACTTCTCATTCGTCTGGTTGTACATGATGTGAATCACACTGGTTGTGTAATCATATATGCACATAGGGTAATAATGTCTGATTCATTCTCTAACCCCGTCTACCCCCATACCCTCTCCCCTCCCTTCACTCCCCTCTGCCTAATCCAAAGTACCTTTTTTAATCTTTAAAAATTGTTACTTTTTCAGTGCTGGAATAGAACCTGGGCCTTGCACATGCTGGACAAGCACCTGGGGGAGTTTGTATTGTTTCCTTTCTTGATACGAATGGAAAACCAGCATGACAAAACGTAAGCTTTGGTCCTGCTAGGTAAAGGCGCTATGGTTACCTGCCCTTGTTTTTTGATGTTTCCCTGGTGTAGCAGGAATGCGGAGATGAGCAGATGCCAAAGCTGTGGGCAGGACCAACTCATCAGCCCAGGTCTGGAGGTTGGTGGCCCTCCTCCCATCCCTACAGAGCTCTCCCTGCACCCTCAGTGGCCTCCAGCTGACCACTCCCCAGGCTCCTTCCTGGTTATGACCCCTCTCTGTAGTTCACAAGAGCAGTGGCTGGTCCCTGGGGAAGGCTGCTTACCTGGGGGACCTAGCGCTGGTATATTGGCTCTGCGATCAGCAGGGGCTGGGTCGGCCACAGGTAGAACTGGAATTATGTGGAAATGGCGGTTAGTGAGGACCAAAGTCCTTTTCCCGAGACAGACACAGGATACATCAGAAAAGGACTCAACTAGCAACTGGGGAAGAGCCCGCTGGGCTACACCTTAACTCAAATATCTGCACTGGCCAGATTTCTGATGAGCTGGAGCTAAGGTCAGGGAGCTGACAGAGAGCTCCTAAGCCAGAACCTGCTGCTCAGTGCCTTCACCCCATTAGCCCTGCATCAGCAATAGGTTCTGCAAGAGGGTGCTTGGCAGTAGCAAGATAAGTCACTGAAGAATTTGGCAGAATAGCTGGGCATGGTGGCACACTTCTGTAATCCCAACAGCTCAGGAGGGTGAGGCAGGAGGATCATGACTTCAAAGCCAGCCTCAGCAATGGTGAGGCACAAAGCAACTCAGAGAGACCCTGTCTCAAAATAAAATACAAAATAGGGTGGGGATGCAGCTCAGTGATTGAATGCCTCTGAGTTCAATCCTCAGTACCAAAAAAAAAAGGAATTGGGCAGAAGTTGTAAAATTCATAATATTCACAAGGAAGCTGATTGTCCTTGATGAGCCCCCAGAGGCTGTTGTACATCCCAGTGATCCATTTGCCTGCACATCCACCTGGATGATGTGGCTGAGCCACAGCAAGACCCACCGTGGGGTCACTGCTCTCACCTGATAAGACAATTGGCAGCTTTCCATTGTCTGCTCAGAGGGAAACATAAAAAATATATATTTGTCAGAGGCATCTGGCTTTGTGAGTTTGCTCATGTGTGAAATACCAACACTTTCCTCTGAGGAGAGAGAGTCGTACAGATGGGGCTACTGGCATTGTTCAGAGCGAAGCCTGTGTCTCTCAAGTGCAGGCATCTGCGATACCTTTGGCCAAGAGCAAAGCTGCTCTGAGAGGAGTCACATGCCCAGTGCACACACATCATTTGTTCAGTGCCTAGAATGTGCCCAGTGCTGTGGCAGGTGCCAAAGATACAGTGATGAGCAGGACAGGTGGCACGCTCGCCCCCTGGGTCAAAGTCTGGAGCTGCAGGTGACACTGGGTGTCACACGTTCTCCCTGATCCCTTGGCAGTGAGAATCAGCTCTTCCTTTTAGGGGCTTGGCCTGCTGCATGTGGCATTGACAATACATCACACCAGCTTTTGGGAACTCGTAGCTCACTGACCTACCTGATGACGTGGCTGGGTGGTCCACATCTTCTGGGACAGAGGAGGCTGACACAGCTGTTGAGAAAGAACACGGGGAAAGTGGCTCCTGGAATTCAGGGTTGAAGAGAAAGACGAGGGCCCTCTTCATCGGCCTCACGTCCCCGGGAGAGTTCGATTCCCTCTTTACAAGCAAAATGGAGAACTTTAAAAGGAACCAGCAGCTGTGAAAACGTGCCAGGTGTCAAAGCATCGTCACATATTGATTCCAGATTTATGAAATATTCAGAATAGGTAAAAACACAGAGAGAGAAAGCAGGCTGGTGACTGCTCATCTGGGGGACGAGTGGGAGGAGCAGCAGCACCATGTCTCTTCACCTGCTCTGCAGCCTGGGAGCAGAAGCCCATTGCACAGGACGCACCAGGGGGCCGAAGACTCCCCCGCTTAGCACAGACGGCGCTGCAGGCTCTCCGCCATGTGTATAAGGTGGATTCGCATCTGTGTGATTATTCATTTAATAAGCATTGAATGCCCCTCAGGGAGCAGACACACACTGTTCTTGGGACTCCGGATGCCTGGTGTGTGTGCGTGTGTGCGTGTGTGTGTGTGTGTGTGTGTGTCTGGGGCTGGGGACAAAGTCAAAGGTGAGAAAGATGGATTCTGCCGCAAGAAGCTGACAACAGTCTTTGCAGAAACGACAGATCCTATGTGACTGTCTGAGACAGGAACAAGAGTTAAAAGCGAGGTCAGCTCAGAGCTGTGCCACCTTCTGTGCAACCACACAAGCGTCTGGGAGAAGGAAGTGCAAGAGTGAGAAAGGGAAACACAGGCTCCGGCCACACAACCGCCCACTCAGCTTTCCTCGACACACGTGGGTCCTCTTGGTTTCTGAATAGGGAACATGCCTCGTCACCTGCTCAGTAGGTAACAGGATTTTAACGTGGTTCAGGGAGTTTAGGAAACTTTAGCGACTGGGCTCTAGGACTCTCAAGTCCCATGGTTTGTGTTATTGTCCATCAACCTTAGGGACAATACCTAACCTAGTTGAGCAGGATTCTCTCTATTTAGAAATGGAGATTACCCTCATCTGCTGTTGGAAGAATTAGATAACAAATCAACACGCTGCATTTAACACAGTGATTATAGTGGCATAACGCAAAGGTTTTTAATGGAAATTAAGCCAGAGTTTTGTATGTAGTTTAAAGTTTTCTGGTAACTACCTTTTAAAAAGGGAAAAGAAACGAGTGAAATTAGTTTTAATAATACATCTTAATTCAATATACCAAAAAATTATCATTTCAATATGTAATCAATATAAAAATGTCAATGAACAATTTCACATTCTTTTTATAGTACTAAGTTTTTTTTTAAAAAAAAAAAAAACAACCTTACTGAGGTGTAATTGATATAACAAAACCCTACAGATGTTTAATGTATACAATTGGATGACTCTGGACATAGGTATATAAAGGTGGTGCCGTCACCATAATCAAGGAAATACACATACCCTTCTCTTCCAAGTTTCCATGTATTTCTTCTGTGTGTGTAGTAAGAGCACTCACTGGGATCTACCCCCTTAGCAAATCTCTAAGTGCAGGAGATAGATAGGCTGTGGGCACTATTGACTGCAGATCTCTAGCACTTATTCATCTTGCATGGCTGAAGCTTCATGCCATTGAGCAGCAGCTGCCCACTGCCCTCAGTATTTGAAAGATCCCATGTGTATCTGACCCACGCAGCACATCTCAGTTCCCACTTGTGCTCAGAAGCCACATGAATGCTGCAGGCAGCAGGCTTACTGAAGATTGTCATTGGCGTGGTCAGACTGTGGATTATACAATGGTTTAGTTGAACTGTCAGCTGTTACAGATGGGGGAGGAGTGGAGACAGCATTAACTAGCACAAGGGTAAAGTGAACATGGACTGTAATGGTGACCACTGCTCACCGTGACCAGGAAGGGCTGTGCCTTCTCCACTTCTCTCGCCAGTTTGGGAAAATAACTAAATCTTACCATGTTGGACGTTTCCCAGACATTAGGCGGAGGCTCTACTTTGTTTCTTAAGTTCAAAATAACTAAGTCAATTCCCTTTTTCTACATATACACCAACCTCTTTCCTTCTTACCCTTTGCATTTGTGAAAGCATGTGAAAGGAGAAACCTTGAGTTACCATGTTCTCTGACAGTAAAATTATAGATAATCAATTATAAGGTGAATCTGGACAGTGAAATGCAGATCATCTCATCCCTTTTTTCTCAAGTCTCCCAATCTTGAATGAAGCATTACAGGTACCGAGTGACAGTGGCAAAACCACTACCTGCAGCTGAGGAGCTATGGTAGAAATGGAAATGGCAGGGTGGGAGGGTCCTACCTGGTGATGTTGGACTTGCAGCAGTTATAGGAGGAAGCTGCGTTGAGAGGGCAACAGGTAGAACTGGAAGAAAGAAACACCTATTAACAGTAAGTTACTGCTTACAGCCACTGGAGGGAGGTGTGGCACCCAGGGCTCCCGGTGACTTCACTAGATGTAGTTGGTCTCCACTCCAAAGTGACCACACATAAGCAATGGAAATGCCAAGCCACCTCTTAGCCACTGGACTCAGTATTCTCCATCCCGTCTCTGCCAGACATGGAATCCAAGGGCAGGTATTCAGTGCTTTGTGGTAAAGATCAGGTGCTTTGGGTATTAATATTCTCCCTGACTGTCAGCCTGATGGTCCCGGCCTTCAGGGTCCCCTGACCCTTCTAGCTGCTTGTTCTGCTTATTTGACTTCTGCGCCTGTTGCATCACTGACGTTTCTGATTAGTAGGTGTTGCTCTGTTTGTAGGTGTAGTACTATTTGCAATTGCTGTTCCAGTTTGTAGGTGTTGCACCAGTTTCTAAGTGTTGAATTGTTGTAGGTGTTTTACTCTTTCATGGATGTAGGTGATGAACTGATTATGGTTGTTGCACTATTTTGTACATGGGGTGCAGTTGTGGGAGGAGTGCAGTTGGTAGGTAGGGCACTGTGTGCAGGCATCCCGGGGTTTGTAGGTGGTGCACTGTTGGCAGGTGCTCTGCCTTCTCTCCTGTGCTCCAGACTGTCCCCATGACATATCTGGCCATGGGAGTTACTTACACTCCCTGTAAGGAACCTTGACAGAGGAAAGAAATGACAGCAATGGCTCTCTGCTTATCTTTGTGTTGACTTGGGCACCTGCTCCCTTTCTTGCACTGTCGCGAGCCAGCCAGGGGCTGTGTGTGTGAGCCGTGAGCACTGGAGCGCACGAGGGGACTGGACTGACGTTGCTGATCTGACTGGACTTTTTGATCCCTCTGCCTTTGATCCCACACAGCACCTAAGATGGGCGTGGCTTTCTGAGATGTCCGGTCAAATCTGCTGACTGCAGGACATCGCCAAGCAACCCCCCCGAAACCCAATCCCTTGCCTTATTTGGGTTGAACTTTTTCCCCAATAAATAGAGGATTTTCAGGTGGCTTCTCTTTCTTTCCAGCAGACCCTCAAGGTTGAGAGCCGTCCCTGATTCCTATAAGCAAAAGGTATTTCTGTGTGTTGAGTGTTTCTTTCACCATTTTCTTAAGTTATTGGTGCAGCCAGCTCTTGTGAACCCAGCTCAGGTCACCAGCTCGGTTAGCTGGCGGTATTGTCCCACACATTTCTTCTCTCTACTTGCTGTTTGGGCCATCATATTTCAATGGGTGACTTTAGTGATGTGTCCATTTCTGAGCCATACCAACTACAAGACTATTTTTCATATAAAAATGTAGCAAGCAAAATGTCACCCCTCCCCCAAGCATGTCCACATCCTAATCCCAGAAGCTGTGAATACACCAGGTTACAGGACAAAGGGCATTTCGGTTACAGATGAATAAGGCTGCTCATCAGTGCCTTAAATCGGGAAGATGATCCTGATTACCCAGGGGGCTTAATGTAACAAGGCCCTTCAGAAGCGGGAGGCAGGAGAGAGAGATTGGAAGGCACTAAGATTCTTGCTTTGATGATGAAAGATTTTGCCAAGGAATGTAAGGGCTGGTAAAAACTGGAAAAGTCAGGGAATGTACTCCTCCTTTCCAGAGATTCCATAATGAGCACAGTCTGCGACAACTTGCTCATTGCTTAGATAATTAAGACCCATTTTGGATTTCTGACATCTAAAACAAGACAATAAAGCATGTGTTGTTTAACCATCGAGTTTGGGCAATTTGTTCTAGCAGCAATGGAAAGCTCATCCAATAATCAAACATAAATGCAATCAAATAATTCTTCCTTTGGAGACAAATTAAAACATGTCATTTATAAAAAATGAGAGAGTTTCTCAGAGCAGTTGGTCATATTCATGCTTAAAGATAATTATAAAACTTATGTTCCAAATAATTTCCAGTATTTTAAAACAAGTATTATTATCTCTATTTTTTACAGTTGATAGTTAATTCTACAATTTAAATCATGTCTTTGAACAAATATTAAGAATGGTAAATAAATGATAAACCAAATATTTCCATCATCTTTCTAATCCTGCGGTCTTCCTGATGGATATAATTAATGGAATGGAAACATTTTAAGAACAACCTAAACCAAGAGTCATGGGAAATTTTTCCTGCAATTATATTGAAAGAAAGGACTCAACCCATATTGCTTTACTGATTTACCTATCCACCCGCCTAAAAGCTATCATCTTTATGTTTTTGAAGGACATTAGTGACTCTACCAGAATGATACCCTGAAAATAATTCCTGATTATAAGAGGGAGGTTCTGATGAGTCATTCAGTAACAGTGTTCTACAGCCACTCTTTCTTCTCCTTTCTGTATTTAGATGGTGAAACAGACACATTCACAGGGAAAACAGCACAAAAAATATTTCTCTTACCTGATAATACAGTTGCTGAATTTCCATCACCTATTGGTGCAAATTAATTGAAACATAAGTTATTTAATGGAGTTGAATAACTTTTACTTTATCTACATAATGGCTTTCAATAAATCTTTAATATGTCAGGTTTAAAGTACAAAATGTAAAATACAGTCAATTCCTGGTGAAACATGGCTCTGAACTTAACAAGCTCTCAGAAATATTT